ACTGGCTGGAAGAAGATCTCCCCTGATGCTAATGACCACCTATTTTCTCATCTCCTTTATGAGTGTTTATTTACAAAGGAGGTCTATCAAGTTCTGTGTGTAAAGTCATACCACTTTATGAATGTTCTGCCCAACATGTAGCTAAATTCTTCTTTGCATTTAACCAGTAGCATCTTACATTGAACACTGGGAAGAGTACACAACACTTGAGAAGAATTGTTAAGGAGTAAAACCAGTAACAGTAAAAACATGGTGGAGGTTTTCATTTTTGCATTCAGACAAAGGAGAATCTTTCATGAATCCATCCAAAATTCTACCAGTGAATGTGATCAGAGCTGCACTTTGCTCTTGAAAGAAGCAAACGCACTATCTTGTTATTTACAACAGAGCTTTGCTTTGTACGGAAACATATTGGTACTATGGGGAAAAAACCCAATGACATTCTCTCAATGGAATTATCAGATGGAAAGGTCCAAATGTTTCTGAATCTTAGTATTTTTCCATGTAAAAAAACCAAGCAAAAAGATCCCTAAGCTGCATATTCATGGTCATGAGAACAGAATTACAATGGAGGAAACGCCACAGAAGAAACATGGAGCTGTGTCTGCATTCTAATTCTACAACTCCTGAGTTGCATTTCAGACTTTACTTTCCAGCCCAGACTTTATCTCCAGCTCATGCTACATTACTTTCTCACTGTCTCTCTGAGAGACACAGAAAATTTTGAACAAAACAGAGCAGGCGTGTGTTTCTGCCTCTGTGTGTGTGTCAAACAAACAAGATAATTTCATGCATTAGAAAATATGACAAGTACAATTTACGAACGCTTGATCAGAGTGAAGCAAAGCCATGAGTCAGCGATGCCATAGTTAATGAGTGAAAAACTATTCCATCCCATTCCATGTTCTGTACACGGCTAGATGAGGCTGTTATACAGAGGCAGGAGGTTGTGCAGCCACTCCCCCATTGCACAAATACACTTAGTAGGCAGCACTCAACAAAAGGGTGGGGGCAAGAAGGTTACAGCTCCCCAAGGCTTCCTAATAAATCCACCTCTGCTCAACATTTTACATAATGATATAATGCATTATATTATTATAAGCAGTGACATCATAATAAAATACCAGAGTGCTACTCAAGTGGCAAGGAACACCTAAGATACATTTCTATACTTGCAATTCAGTTCCTGTATTTTTTAATTATAGATAAGAATTTAAAGTGAAAATAATTATTCATTCCATAAATACTGTTGTAATGGATCCCTGGCATATAATTAAGAGGCCTTTAATTTTAATTTTGTATACTGAACGCCTGTTTTTGGAGGTATTCCATATTCTATATTCAGGGCCTATAACTGCAAAGCTCTAAGCTTCTATTTTCGTGTAAGCTGCAGATGCATGGTTTGCAAATTTAAGAACTCAGCTTTTATAATGACGGATACAAACAACATGGCTGCACCAAATACATTGCAAAGCATTTTCCTTCCTTCTAATTGTGATCCATTTCAATCGTGCTGTCAGTGTTCCTTGGCCCATCTCAGGTTGCAGCACCATCTTCTAACCCATACTTGCAATACAGCCAGTAATTGCAGAGCATCTTCTTTCTAAAGTGCCTGATACCTAAAAGAGGGAACCTACCATCACAGCATTCAGCATTTTCTAGAAACTGATCTCTTTGATGGTAGAAAAATAGCTAGCCTATAATCTCACCAATAATGTGAAAATGGATGTCTCCAGTTATTTGCAACTGGATATACAACCTTTCAGCCTACAGTAAAGATTAAAATCATTGGCACATGATTATTACTAGGTGAGGATAGCCTTTCTGAAAAGGTAACTATTTCTCAATTCTAGTAAATGCAGACACTCACATCTTAAAAAGCACAACAATAACTGGCACCTTTTTGGCAGACTCAGCAGGCAGGTCAAAGATTGTCTCAGCATGTAGAATGAATTAATATTTCTCTCCCAAGAGTGGGTCCTTCTAGAAAAGGCTTAAGGCAGATTGGTGGGGCATTCAAAGGAAAGCTGGAGAGGGGGGTGAAAGCTTTTGTTTATATGAACATTTTTCAGATTTAGATCTAGAAACATTTAAGTGTTTTAATTTTGTATGAAAGACTCCGCCCTTCCCTGTCCATCCCTTATGTGTCTGGTCTCCTCTATAGCCCACCACACACATCCTAAGCTGTCTTCCCCCATTTCGCTCTGTACTCCCATTCTGCCCTTTTGCAGGTCTCTGTAACCTCCCCATCCCTGCCTTTAGTCCTTTGTCCCCAATTCCTTGTCTTCTACTCATTCTCCTAACCCCACCTTCCTCACTCTTCCTACCCCACTTCTGAGTTTCTCTCTGTGTGTTTTAGCTCCTTATCCTCTAGATTTAATTTCTGTGCATCTGCTGCTTGCTTTCTCTAAAGCCCAAAGGAATTGCGGAAGGCCCTACTCGATTCCAAGAAATATTTTTTGAATATCAGCCATACTTATAGAGCACGTGATTTAGGAAGCGCTGTTTTCTCCACTTCTTGCTGCAACAGGGTACAAAGTGATCACTTTGCTTTCGTCTCTTCATGCTTACAAGAGAGTAACAAATGTCCCCTAGTGCTGCATCAAGTTGGCATTGACAGTTTACAGCGCATCTGTGTTCAAGTCTTCTTGTTTGGTCATGCAGACACATCTGCAGTAACACAAACTCACTCTGAAGAGATTCATTAACTATTTGTAACTAGCCCACAAGTATTTAGTGCTAAATGAATAAGGGTAAAAAAGTGAATAAATCAAATAACACAGGTTGAGACAGAGAGCATATAACTGACTTAAAATGTAGCCTTCCTGACACCCAGATACAGTGTCTGTCTCTGACAAACACGTAGTGGGAGGACTACTCCATTTTCAGTGTCCTCATGGGCATAATATGGTGATCTGAAAAGGCAAGAGCATAATTCTCTCCTCACTTTTCTTCCTGTTCTGAACCTCCAGTTGTAAATACAGGCCAGCAGAAGAGGCTTGTCTTGCTGGCTCTTCACAGATGGATGTAATAGCAGCAGCTGCAACCTTTGGGTGCCTGAAAGAATTAGTGAGCATTGTGCGTCCCTATGATTCTCCTAGACATTACATCATGCCTAGATGGCATTCTCTCACCCAGAACCATGGTTTACCATTCCTACAACAAAACTGTAGTACTCTCTGCTTAGCCTACATTCAAATAATTCTAGTCACTTAAGAAAACATCTAAAAGGAAATAAACACCAATTAAGGCACAGCCACTTTAATACAATAAAGATCAGCTCTGGGCATAATTTCCTTGCTTTCTATCATATAAATCTCCCATTTTTGAACATTTCATTTTGTACTTAGATTATGTCTTCTCAGATAAGCTTTAAGCATTACCATCTGTTCTGCAGCAATCACATGATCCTATCACTTTGACTCAGTTGAATACAAATCCCTTTGACAATAGGGAAACAGAAAAATAACACACATTTGTTCCAAAAACTGCCACACCAGTAGATTGTTCAAGGGCTGCTTTATAGTGGAGGTAAAAGACATGGGGAGACTTTCCTACACACCTCCTGTCTGTGCCCCACACTGTCCAGGCAGCATTCTGACACTGAAGCTTCTTGTTTGCTAGGGGGATTGAGTCAGTGTTTCAGCTGTGTTCAGCAGCCCCAAGGGCTGAAAGCTTAGCCAGGGCCCCATGCCTCTGCATGCCTGCTAGCATTTGGAAGCAAATCCCAAGTCAAAGGGAATACACCTTTCTCTTGCAGATGTAAAAGCACTATAGTTACATCAATCTCTGAGGCATTCTTTCCGCATCTGTCCTCTGCAGGCAACTGGCCCACAGCCACTACAGTTGGCCATTGCAGCAACAGATCTTCCCTGCTGGTTTCTAGGAGAAAGGCAAAAGCAGAGTTTGTACCCACTATTGTGGCCACATCTATTAAGAAAACTCCAGCGAAAGGCTGGTGCATATTATGCAGATATTTGGAGCATTCTTCTACTTAGAATAATTTCCCCATTGGAATGGACCTGTTTAGCAGAAAGGTGATCCTATTCAGATTCAAAATGCATTAGACAGTATAAAATATTTCTCTTTAAGATTTGAAAGAAGTGCAAACTGTACTATGAAAGTAACTTGCAGTTCCTAGCTCTGCATACGCAGACAATGTATATAACCTGGATGAATCACCAAAAAAGGGTGCATTGCTAATCTCACTATGTCCATCTACACTCCTCCTCTACAAGGTGTTACAAACATTGTATCATTCAGAAGGTAATTTTGCTTTATTTTCACCCACTGGATAATTCTCAGAGGGAATGTTTCAGCTATGTTTGTGGTTGAACACATGAACAGGTTAAACTGCTGTATACTGATATTTATAGCTGATTGAAATTTAGGCTATTAATTTATTATGAAGGAAAAATATAGCAATAAACCAATGTACTATACATTCTAGCTGAATTCAGTATTATGACTCTTCTAATGTCATATAATTTACATATGAATGCAACATTTCATTTTATCCTCTTATTTTAATGGCACTGCAAATTCACTGAAAAATACTGAAAGATTAATTTCTGTATGAGAACTTTGAGGATGAGAATAACAAAATGCTCAGATTTCAATGGTGCAAAGACAAAAATGTATTGGACCATGCACCATTCATTTGCATTTTAGCATCTATTTAAACTCAGTGTTTTCTCCAAGTTTGTAAGCTGTTTCAATAGTTAATCTGCAAGCAGTTGGTGAATATAAATCTCTCAGAAGCATGCTATCTTTTTTTTATCAAGCTAAAAGGGAAAGGGTGATTCATTTTAAATGTATTGATGATAGAAGAGCTCTGAATAGCATTTTATCTGCAATAGTGAAAGGAACGAAGTGCAAGTTAAGCAGTAACAATGCATTTTTTTCAGGGGTGGTCCTCTTGGAAAATGTTAACCACATTAAAGTAGGTAGTTATTGAAATATGCAATTAATTTTAAGTTGATAGAAGTTGAAACTGTCATTCACCTGAGCAGGTGGTGGAAGAACCTTCTTGCATATCTGCTGATTGGGTCCCTGTACTCCAGCACAGTTGTATCCAAGAGGGGTCTTGTTGGAGCATAAAAGGTTCCAAGGCTTGCCTCAAGCTGTGCTGTGGAGTTCAAACACAGCAGCAATGAAACATGTGAAACTGTTTCAATTACAACAGGTTGCTCATGTTTGCAGTCAAATTCCTCAAACACTGATGAAATGTGATGTTGTTGTATAAGAGATGAAATTAAAATATGACAGATTGTACAAACACAAATGTGCATATAAACTTTCACTTTGAGGCAGAGTTGACAATGACTTTGAGCAAGAAAAGCTGTCAGAAGGATGAATAAGTCTATACAACATAAAGTTCTCACCAGCAGCATACAATTAAAAGTGACTCATAAGAGTAATACAGTTTGAACAAGTTTGTCCAGTAGAGATCAACTCTCAATTAGCTCAAAGCGTCTTTGTCCTCTCAGGCAAACAACACGGAAGTTCAGTTTTTCAGTGATTATTGTGTTAGGTCGGTGGGTGACAAGAACCCTTCTTGTGATGGCCTTGAGGTCTAAGGAACCTCCTTCAGCCCACAGTTCTTTAAAAACTTTAAATAAAAGGGTCTAGAAACCCTAAGGGTTTGACTCTCCTACAGCATGTACTGGTGGGTAACCTCCCTTGTAATCAATAAAATAAAGCCCTTTTGTTACAGAAGTTCTCTCTGCTTTAAATACTGACTGCTAAACTCCACAGCTGGAGCTCTTAGACATTTTTCTACATGTTTTTAATACAAAATTATAAATAATACAATAAAATACACAGTATACATTTGTGTCCCACATGCTTAGCTGAAAGGAAATTTAATGATCAATAATATTTATATTATGTGACTCCTGCTTGAGAGTTAACACATAGTACAAGTCCTTATAGGCAGAAAAGGGAGAATTTGCTATATATTTGCTATATAGGTTCTCCTTTCAAAGTGAATGTGCAAACTGCTACCGTTAATCAGAATTTTGTGTGGGCTTTAAAAGCAAAACCTATTGCCTCATTAGGTAGACAAAATCTCATTGATTTACTGTTATTAACATTTGTTTGAACTAGCCATTTCTGTATTTAGTGATAATAGTTCTTTATTTCCACACATAGTTACATTCTATTTTATTAGGTTTGATAGCACTAAATGTGCTAATAGTACTGTGTTAGGAACACAGGCAAACTGTTAGTAAATCAGGTTTTGCGTTATCCTAAATCTAGGCAGTAAGATAAGTTGAACTTTAAAGGTATTTTCTTTCAAAGCAGCAGTCAATTTAGATGAAAATTTAATACAATTTTGCAGTACCTTTGCAAAAACAAGCCATACTCTCTTGCCATTGCTGTTTTCCTGACAGCATGTTTTGTACTTCTGAAATACTTCAACGTACATAGAATATGAGCAACTACTAGCACAGTTATAGATTCATTAGATAGCCCAGCTTGATGTTGAAGGCAGAATAAAGATCTCAAAGATAACAGCCTCATCACTATAAATAAAAGGCCCCACTGGGTTTTGCTAATAAAAAAGAAAACAAATTACCATGCCAAATTTGTTAGATTCATATAGAATAACTCCTGGACAGAATGAAATTCTGTCTGCTGTAAACAGCGTTAAGGAGCTGCATGGGGGGAAACACACAGACATCTATTTATAATGTGCATATTTTTACAAGAGTTTGAAAACCAACCCTTTTCATGGGTCCTTTTAAAAGCCTGTTTTATTTAGAATTGATATGCTATGTTTGCAATGCAGAGATTTTTTTAATCAGATCCCCCAAAATGGGATAGCTGATGGCTTGGCAGCAATGTAGGACACCTTGGAGTTTTTCTATCATCAAACACACCAGAATCCTAAGTAGTCTTTCTTGCCACAAAAGATGCCTGGTCCCCAGCTGTCTGCCTGCTAGACCGGCAGATAACACCTTCACTAAATCAAGGCACTTCAAATCTTGAAGTCTATTGAGTTTCAAGATAGACAGCAAATCAAGAGGAAGGCATCACACCAGGCTTCAGCAGAGACGAAGCTGAACCTAAAATTCATCATTTCTTGTGAGGGAACCCAGCTACTACTGCAGGGGGCCAGAAGATTACAGTGAGGACAAATGCTATAATCCTAAAGGAGGCAGCAGAGGATAGTGTATTCAAAGCCTTTGGATCTTGTAATGAAAGAATGACCCTTCAAAAGCACCTTAAAAACTCTTGTCCCCATTGCAGGAAAATGTCCCTCCTTAAGCTGGTGCTGTCTCGGTATGAATATATAACAGTTGAATCCTATATTAACTAACATTAGTCTGTAACATAAGCTAAATTTATGTAATGTAATAAAGTTACAGCACATATAAGATAGTGCTATACATATTAAATCATGCCTATACTACATATATATTAAAATATGCATTATTTTAGTATCACTGTTGATACAAATGAACTAAAATGCAATCAACACATTAGTCCAGATTTTATTGGAATGACTTGTCTACATAGGACATTTGATTATGGAGTACCATAATCTGGCTGACTGCCCGCATTCTCACTATTGTCTTCTTTATAAAGTCAATAAATATATTGTCATAATCTACATATGAATTACAAAGACACCACAAAAATACATTAAAAATACAATCAGTCCCTTACCTTCTCTGTCTGGTGTAAGCTTTTGTTTAAGAAGGTGATTGACAATGGCACTCAAGCATATGTAACACTGACGACCCATCGTGTTCCAGTTCATGGTGTTCAGGACATTAATTGCCTCATGTATCTCATCGTAACGAATGTACTGGTGGATGATTTCCACAAGGCCCAGCTGTCCTCTTGTGATCACACCTTTTACAGGAAATATTAAAACCAAAGATAGTGTTATGAGCATGTAAACCAGTAGCTGACTACTTTTCACCACAGTTAAAAATAATTGCTGTTGGTTAAAATTAGGAAGTTTAAGTTAATGAGCTTCATTATTAAATTTTTACATGAGATAGCTCCTTACTATCTTGGTATATTTAGACTGAGGGTGCTTTGGACAGCAGAGAAAAACCATCAGGGAACTTCACACACAGAGGCTGAGCAAATGCAACCAATACCTATTAGTGACAACATCATGTAATGAAGTTTGTTTCAAACATGGTAGAAAGAGCTTATTCCCAGTTTATCATTATTGTATTGGAGGTAATAAATCCATGTTCCTAGCATGTCCTTCCTGTAGGAAACTACTGCTGGACAACACTAAAAACCAGCATTTATCTCACAGAAACGTATATGTATATACGTATATGTATATATACATATAACCTACGTATACAAGTTTACAACAACTCAAACTTCAAAACAGCGGTTACTCGATTACTCTCCATATTGCAGTTGCTCTAGAACTTACTTCTAGCTTGGCAGAATTCTCTAAGTGAAGCATTTCTTCTGTGAGGGGATGAGAGATATCAACATTTAGGGACCTTTGAATTACAGTTGCACATGAAACCAAGAACATGCTTGCCATAAGGGAAAAAAACGAGCAACACATTGCTCACTCCAAGAGAACGTGATTTATCTACAGCACTCTATCTCTGAAAAGTAGAAATTAAAAGACTCTCAAATTTTCTTGACTTGTAGGTCTCAGCTTCTGAACAGAAAAGGTGACTGAAAAGCTGCAGAAAGTAATGTTATTTATTGTCTCTGACTACCCATATGATCATGTGACATAGGCCACACATGGCATTTTAGCAACTCTTGCTTGTTTTGGGTCACTGTGCTAGAGCTTTCTTTATCATTACTGCTCCAGATACTAGAAAGAGACCAGAATGAATTTACTGTTCCTCCTTTCTTTAAATAAAAACTTAATGTTATTTTTTTATTTTCTCAATTTATATTCTGATGATGTTTGTCATAACTATTTTTAAGGAAAAAATTCAAATGAGAAAGAGAAGAAGCTGAATTTCAATACTGATATTAAAGCCATAGGATGGCTGGGGAAAAAAGTCTGATAACAGGGAAAAGCAGACCTGATATATAGAAAACATACCTCACAAAATTTTCATAAATGTAGTTGTGAATATTTTTGTGATGTAAAATAAGAACTGAGAAAAAAAAAAGTAGAGGAAAACATCTGACTATAGTTCGAGGACAAGCAACCTGCCGAGAACTTGCATATACAGATCTGACGCTTTAGGAAAAAAAAGGCTTACATATTTATTTTTTGTAACAGAGAAATACGTTAGTTTTGTAGTGTCATTAAAGAAAAGACACAGTTGTCTATTGTATTCCACTTTACATTTGCATGTATTAAAGCCTATGGACATTATACTGTGTAATAGCCATGTTTAACCTGTGTATTTGAGATAATATCTAATTGTTATGGTAGACTTTATTCTTCCTAAATGTTTAGTGTTTTTAAAGTATTACATAAGTTGTGCAATCTTCACATTAATCACTAAGTGAAGATGAAAATACTTATTTGCATGCTAATTAAATATAATACTATATTTAAAATGTCTTTTGAGGCCAGCAATGCTGAACCACTGGCACCAGTACCAAGTTTGGTATTATCCAAGATCTGGTTTGACATCAATGACAAGAAGCCGCAATGCTTTTGAAAATTAGTTTGGCATTAGACACCAAAAATATTTGCCATTAATGATTGAGGGCAAATTTAATATGAATCTTTTCTTGGAATAAATCTGGCTAGACTGCACAATGGAGAATTCACAGAACTTGTCCAAAATCATAGTATGTCAGCTGCAAGTTAAAAACATATTTGCGTATTCTCATTGACATAGTTTCTTAACAGACTTTTACAGGAAACAATTCCAAGCCATGAGTTAATTATGGATTTTATTTCAGTCCTGAATGCCTGTCTGGGTTTTGCTGTCATGGACCCCTAAATTTTCTGTATAATTTATATTTGCATTATTTCTTAAATAGCAGAGACCCAAAAACTGCTGAGGTTGGGAAAAGGCGCTGACTAATCAACACAGCATTACCTTGGTAGTGTGGGAAACTGAGGAGAAGAGGGTAATAGCTGAAAACCAGGATGCAACAGAGAACAGCATATTTTTGCACAGTGGATTACAAAGAGGAAGGGAGGGAGGGAGGGATAGAGAGAGGTTTGCTTTCTTCCTAGAAGAGATTCTACAGTAATTATACAGAATGAATTTTAAAATGTGATAACTTTCAGCTGTAGAGGTCAACATCTTCCCATTTGGATGCTTGACTTCTCCTGGGTGGTACGCTTCCAGGCAACCTGCTTGGGAAAAAGAGGTGACAGCCAATTCACTGCCTAATTGATTTAGGAACAGTGCCCAGGGAGACAGTCCAATTAAGTTTACAAGCTGGCAATTAGCAGGAAAGGCCTCTAAATCCCTGCACTGAGAGCCTGCTTGCCTTCGTAAGAACATAAATGTGCTAAAGATAGCAAGGGGAAAGCTGTGCTTTCTGGAAAGCTGTTGTGAGAAAACCCCACAAGGGAGGACTGAAGAAAAGCAAGGTAGATGTGGGTAGAGTGCCTTCTGCTTGACAGGTAAGAGGTAATTTAGAGGGTTTTTTTTAATGGCCAACATGTACAAAAACATCAAATAGCTCTTATAATTAGAGTTCTGGGGTACTCCGCAACTATTAAACCTGTCATTGAACATAATGCAGCTGAATTATCTCAAAATAAATGATAACTTGTAAACAATTTTGTAATAGTATTTTTGGATAACAGTAATAATCCGGATCAGCTCTTTTAAAACTATACAACTATAAGCCAATCCAACATTTTTGTTGTTAACATCCTATTATATTAATTTACCTTTTTGCAGTGGCATACTTAGTTAAGTTTTTTAAATTTAGTCTTGCAAGTGTTTAGGTCTGCAGTACTTTTAGACAGGATTTTTCCTCACAAAAGCACATGCATGTCTCAATCAGTAAAGAAATAAAGTAGATTTTCAAACCTTACTGTCACCTAGTTTTTTTTTAAAAAAGGCTTCTTCCTCATTTCAGTTGCTTTATACAAAAGAATCACAAAAAAGTCCTGTAAAGATCTACAAAGGCAATCCTGTTTCCTTGGACAATGGGCAAAATGCTGAAATTTTCCAGGATGAGTATATTTGACATGGCTGTCTGCCCTGCTGAAACACTGGCTTGGTAGTCAGAAGATTTAAGCATGATTTTTTTTTTTTTAGCTCTCACAGTGGGTTTGCACCACTGTAGCTTGCCTGACTTGAATGGAATGAATACAGTTCTCACTGATAAGCGACTGCAGGGGTTTTATTCTTAGTTCAGCCACTGACTCGTGTAACTCTTAGAAAGCCTTTTAGCTTTCCCTTACTGCTTCTTGTTATTTTGTTTGTAAAATGAAGATAGTTATGGTTTTACTGTCTTAAAGTCTCCTTACACCTAAAATGAGAAGTGTTATATAAATTCTAAAGTTAGTATTATTACTACTTCTTTTATTCACAACTTCTGGCAAATTAATTGAGAGACCAAACTTCTCTGAAGGTTGTGAAAACCTTCTTTCTTGTGTGAAAAGTCTTCAAGGAAAGAAATGGTGTAACTTCATGTACCGAAGTCAGGAAAAACAGAGTACTGGGACAATGACACATTATAATGGAAAGGACAGTTGCATCATACACACAAAAAAATAATTTAGGAAAGAAAAAAGCATTACTATCCTATTATTAAAAATAGCTTATTTTAGCTTGTTAGGGGTATTACTACGGAATGAATACAATTCCTAAAATTATATACTAGAGAATAAAAGAATTTTCAATATGAGAAATTGTTATGCTTTATTAGAGTAGCAGGTAACATAATGGGACCCTGATCCAACAACAGATCAGGGTCCTATTCTGTCAGACCCCACATGAAAAGATACCAAGGAATTGTGAAACATAATGAACTCCTTGGTTCTCATCTTCAGGTATCATTGGAACTACGTGCTTTTAAGGCTATGGTCCCATATATCTAAAACGAGGGCGTTGCTTTAAAACTACAAAAACTTGTGAGGTACAGACTTAGCTCAAGGTTCAATAGATGTGCTCAGTAACTTACCAAGTTTAAAGTGAAGTACTCCTAAGGGTCCTTTGTCAAATCTAACCAACAAAAGATCATGAATATCTGTGCCGTCAGTGCTGGCAGCTGCAACTTGAGGAGCAGCCCACTGGATCTGGATGAGGCTGCTAGGCACATCAAAATGTTTACTGAATTGCAGAGTTGCCTCAGGTGAATAGTCTTGTGCCAAGAGCTGAATTTTAACTGGGGACAGTGCCGTGTCAAAAAGTTGCAGCTCCCCTTGTGAGCTGCCAACCATGAATATGGCTCCGGAAGGGTGGTAGGTTATTAAAGCAGGCAACAGTTCTGCTTGAGCTAACAGAGTCACTTGGTTGTAGGCTTCATACATAATTATTGATGAATCTTCACAACCCAGGACCAGTTTGTCTTCTGTAATGTCTCTGCAACAGCTGATGGCCTTGGATCGTAGTGGTATTCTGGTGACTGTTGCACACTGAATTTTGTTCCTAACACACTTGTAGATGCAGCTGTCAGCCATGGGCTTCTTGTCTGCAGAGATGGAGTGCTCTACTGTGTAAACCTGATAAGGCTGGTTAGTGCTGAAGCTAGCATCGAGTGGATCCCATTCGGTACGGACATAGCTCAGAACCTGAAAGAAATCCAAACATTTTGGTAGTCATTTGTAACAATTTATTCTTAGTTTGATGATTTAAAAAATAGACTGCTGCAAATATGCTTTCTCATAGGTCAGTAAGCTAAAACAAATACACATTTTAGAAATGGAGTTGCAAACTCTACTGTTTTAACTTTTAAAAGGTTAATTCCTTTGATTAAAAAACCTGCAATATAGTTTGAGCCATATTTGTTTGTCCAGGGTATATAGCAGGTTAGCAGAATAGAAGATGGAAGAGGGATGGTCTTAACAGTGGTGATAAGAGGAGAAATGAGCAGCTGACTGATACAAAAGAATAACTGATTATTCACAAGTAGGATCGGGGAGAAATCCCAAAATTTCTGCGAAAATTTATAATAGGTTACTCTGAGCATCACACTTAGGGGATCTTTGATCATTTGCTCTGGGCCATGGTAACAGAAAATATTACACTGTAGTGGTAGAAACAATGGCATGTTTAAACAGCGTATACTATACATTGCCAAATGAGTAGGTGGTAGATGTTCTTTGGTGCCATATAGCTTTAGATGCAGAATAAATGAATTTGTGATAGCAGAAAAGGGGGACCATTTAGGGGTACCTGAAGGTTGAATGAACTGGAAGAACAACACAAAAGCAGAATATGATACAAAGACAGCAGCTGGCAAAGAGCAAGAATTTGTAGTGTGGAAACATGGGAAGTTCCATAAAGTGATGGGTGCAACAGTGGAGACCAGTGAAGATTCATGTCCTATAATATATGGGTTTGAACGAGAGGTGTTGTACAGGACTCGAGCGGGAAAACTATGGGAGAAATACCAGCTGTAAATAAGTTACAAATTAGCTTATGAAAAGCTATTTCTCTGAAAGAGAGAGAAAACCAATGTCTCTAGAAGAATGACACTAGTGGAAGTCAGTCGAAACTTGCTGGTGTTTGTTCATGCAGAAATGAAGAGTGAAAGGAAAATGTCAAACTGAGCCAAACCCCACCCTCAGGTATACCCATAGCATTCTTCACACTATAAACTAAAGCTGCTGACCTGCCACTAATTTTGGAAGCCCCTTCTTTTGAATCCAGGTGGCATGCAAGTACCATTTACACTGAAAGGGGTAACAAATGTGATTAAAAGGTAGAGAGAGCACGAGGGAGGAAATCTGGAAATTTCAGGTGAAAAACAAGAAATGCACACATTATGTTAAAGCAGTTTAAATTTGACTTCCACAGATCACAAGACCAGCTGAACCTATAATTTATCCTTTCGTCCTGCAAAGGAGGAGAATAAAAAATTAAGATTTTTTCTTTTGGCATACCACCCATTACTTCAGAAGCAACTGATGAATTTATAAACAAGTTATTTGGGATATTAATCAGACTGATTAGGATGTTTTGTTCTGACAGTTTACTTATTTTGTCAGCAAAAGGGTTTCTCATTCAAAAGAAAGGAAAAAGGATTATTGCAATTCTGTGGCTGCAAACGAGCTGCCAGTTAATACAAAAGTCTTAGCTACTTTAAGATGAGTAGTTAGGGGCATGCAAAGAAACACAAAAAAGAAACAAAAAAGATGCAAAAGCATCTAACACAGAAGCAAATGCATCCAACTTGTGAAAACCAGGTAAACCGATTTCAGCAGAGTAGTGATCAATGAAAATATATACCAAAGAGGAAATAAAAGATTAAATTACTTAGATAGAATGAAAAACATTTTCTCACCTCCACCATTCCCTCACCAATGACTTAGTCTCTGCAACCAGTCATTTATGCCCACAAAATGTGCAGTGGCTACTGTGCAGATGTTAGAACTGCTGAAACGTGTAGTTTATTAGGGTGTTAAATTGCATAGCAAGGAAACCTGTAAAAGAGGTTATTGTGGACAAAGGATTACCGTGACCACAGAGCTCTCTAACCCCAGATAAAGAAAAGGTGAAGTGTTATTGTTTGTTCCACAGTTTTCCTTAAGACTATGTATAGAGACCCAGGTAGCTGCCTTTCAAATATGTGAAATAGAAATCTTGCCCAAGCAAGTCTTCAAAGCTTCCATAACTTCAGTGAAATGAGCCTTGAGGCCCTCTGGGACTCAAATTTCTGTCTTCCTGTGGCAGGTTTCAATGCACTGCATTATTCATCTACATATTTTGATCTAAACCCAGTGTTCCTCTCTGGACATCTCCTCACAAGCTACAAGAAAGTCATGAAGATCCACACAATAATCAAGCCTATGAGAGATGAAAGACTGAAAGCACTATTACATTCTGAAGAGAGACTGGCCTTGAAGGCTAAGACAATGGAGAAGAAAACATGGGAAACATGGATTTTTCAACTCCATAGGAGTGACTGCTGGAAAACAGCAATGGAAATAGTCACAAAAAAATAAATGTTGTCATCTGATCATTTGAGAGTCAGCAAGCAAACTGAACCCAATTAATAATTTTGTTCTGCCTTGTTAGAGCAAAAGTGGGACAAGATGTTGCTCACTACTTCGAATTTAAAAGAAAGTAAAATCTCACATTTTGGAAGGCTAATTTAATGAGCCTTGAGATGAGAAGCCTCCTAGCTTCACATAATTTTGAAAGCAAATACTTGAAATGAAGTCGAGGGTAGGGCTCGTTGCTGTATATAATGCAATTCTAAACTAAGAAAACGTTATTGTGAGGAAAGACTATTTGTTGCATTTCAAAACATAAGTTTTGACATAATGTTTAAAAAAAATTAGGCTTAAAGGAAACTTTTCTAGACACCACTGTTCATATTCTGGCTGAAAACAAGAGAAATATTTCTCCTTAGATTGAAACAGATAAGCTGCTTCTCATGCATCAGTGGCCTCATGTGCCTCTTGGAGGAAGAGTACCAAGCCGAGAGACCTCTTTGTTCTGGTTTCCAGTTTTGCTGAATGTTACTGGTATTTGGCACTCTGAAGGGGGAAACAATGGATATTCTCTGTCATTTGAGAGGGAAGATTTTAGTCTCTCTGTCAGAAATTACTTTTATTATTAATTTTTCATGTCAGTAATTGGAAAACTAAAGCAGAGACACATACAACTACAGAACCATGTTAATAAGGCTAAGATAATGCTTTTGAAAAATAGGAAGTCTAACAATCAAACCAACTTTTTTTTCCCAAGAAGATGGTACTCCATTATCTGCCAATTGTTTTTCTATCTGGTAAGTAGCCACATGCTAGTAAATATAGTGCACATAGTGCTTTAGCAGTCCATTTAAAGGATTCCCCTGGGATTCCTTCCCATTGAGCAGTAGTTCTCTGGAACCCTAAAGGGGAACATTAAAATAGCAATATATCTTTAAGTTAACAAAACATTTGCTTGGGGAATAGGAAGGCAAAAGCTGGAGGAGTTCCCTTAGAAGTGGGTAGGACAACTGTAGGATTTGCGGAGGAGGGGACAGGGCAGTGGATCTAAAAAGACACAGCTGTAATATCACATGGTGGGGTATATAATCCCATTCAACCTTAAGTGCTTTCCATAAATCTTGTGCTAAGCACTTAGCCTTTCATTTCAAGGGAAGATTTCTGGAAGTACTTTGCATAAAGTAAACCCAATTGCTTTCTGCAAAATAAATAAATAGATACTAGAAAATTTTAAAGGTACCTTTTAGTTTTGTGGCACTACAAAAATATAGTAAGTGTATTTAAATATTGTCCACATAATTTATGCATACTTCCCTTATTAACGTGGCAGTCATGCACCACTACTGCACATTTATATTGTTTTCCCCTTGCAGTACTGGCCTGTGCTCTGCATCAGCTAATCAGCAGAATGAGGGATACTATACATGTCAAGTTCTCAAATCCTAGAGTCAGAAATCATAGCAATCCAAGTAAAGGAATCTGTTAATCTTTGTAAATAAGGGGCCTGAATTATGCTAGTTAAAATACTTTCTTTCATTTTATGTTTGAAAGAAATAATAGCACTAGGTTGTATGGGCAGTATCACTCTTCTCAGTGCAAATCTTTGAACACTTAAAATTGAAGTATTTTGCACAGAGTGCTGGGAAAGGGTAAAGTCCACATATCAAAACAAGTAAGAGTTTTAACCAGTAGTTCTTAAGCAGAAAATTGGCTTACCAGGCAGATAAAAAAAGAAAACAAAAGAAACAGAGAAATAAACTTGCTGTGACTGAATTGTGTGTCTTTCAGATGAGAAAAATGTTTGATTTATTTTATGGATGTTAAAAATATGCTTATTTAATTTCACACAGTGAGGCTCCAAATAACAACAAACACTTTAATTAGAAATGTAGAGTGGGAAGTGTAGTGCACACTAGAGTAAAACAGTTTTAAATACAGCACTGTGAAGAGGGAAGGAAAAAAACCCAACACCCTATTTTTAAACATTTCTAAAATAGAAACGCAAGACTCCTACTCCAGGTTACTTATTCGGCTGCATTGTATTTACAGTCCCATGTGCAATCTTATCATTTAGATCTTCAGCTAACATTTATTCTTATTTCCTTTCAAAATTTATCATCATCACCTTTATCCCATATTATTCATTGAACTTTTAACCCAATGTGACATCAAGGATTTTACATTCTTTGCTACATGTATGTGAGTGGTATTTCAGCTATTCAGTCACACACCGTAGATGTTTTTCTGAGTGCTACAGTAATTGTAGGATAGCTCACTCGTAAAAGATCTGCTGTGTTTATTTCACAAGTTTGAGGCACAATGTGGAAGCAATAACTATTAAATATTATCTCTTGGGAGAAAGAAAAAATAATATTCTCTCTCAGGCAAATTATTTTTTCCACAAGATTGAAGTATTATTTCAGTGATTCGCACTAGCACTAAATGGAGTGAAAATAAACATGGCAAAGACAAATGCAAAGTACTACAGTAACTGAGCCCTGGCATCATCACCCCGTGTTAATTTATGTTTGCAGAATAAAGTTCATGTTGATTTTAACATGACTTTCTCTCAAAGCGTTTAATCCAAGGATGATTTCACATCAGATCCTATTTATTCACAGCAAATTGTTTGAAATGATTTCTGGAAGATTCCTCTTCTGGTTTTGAAATCAAAGTACCAGCATTATCTCCACAGGGAGACAATTTAAATAACATCCTTGATCATTGGTACTTTAACAAAGAAGAAACAAACAAAACCCAAATAATTAAATAAATAAATTGGAGAATGGATGAGATCACTGGAGGAAACCAATGCACACAAGAAAGCAGACAGAGGTTCAACAGACAAATACTGTGTATAGAAGTACATCGCACACCAAAGCAAAGTCCTATGTTAAAGAGAAAAGCACTTTTACTTCTTTAGGGAATGATTCCTCACCAAAAATTACAGCATTTGACACAGTAAACACTGATCTCAGGGAAAAAAAAAAAAGAGTAAAACAAGTCAAGATTTGCAAGAAAAAAGTTCTTTCTGTTTTTAGAGGAATCATGTCTACCTTTAGCCTTAATAGTAGCAAATGTTAAAACATAAAGCCACACAGCACAATTCAAATCGAATTTATAGTGTATTTAAAATGTAAAATACATTTCCCCCATTAAGTTGAAAAGCTGCTTAGGTACACAATACCCCAAGCACTGTATGGGCAATGTGAATCATCCCAATGCAGAACATGTAGTTACAGGATATTATCATGATGAGGGGTTGAGTTGCCTTGTCCCAGAGCTATTCCTGTCCTCATCCTAATAAGCACTCTTCTGGTGGCCAGCAAATATTACTCAGAAAATTCTTCCAGGGAGGAAGTAGTATCACCGACATGCCCCATTTACCTTTGCTCTGCCACAACAATAGAAGTGTCAGTAACTGGCAGATCTTTTTGTGGTTTTCATAGGTGAGAACCAAGATGCTGTAGAACAGCTGTGGGTAGCACTCATTCATTTCCTCAGGCTTGGTTTACCATAAACTCAATATGCCAAACAGATCTTTACGGGCTAGACATTCAGCAATTCCTTCTTTTTTCTTAATTCTAGATAATAATGCTGTTTTATCCAAGTGATCCTACTATTTTCAAGTAAAATGTTGGTGGTATGATTTTGCTACACTTCTTTTTGATAAATGCCCTGAACTGAATCAGTTCACGTTTCTCATTCTTCTTCTGTTGACACTAATCATTTATTGGGAGAAAATTTGTATTATTGGTCAAATATGATAAATATTAATTTACTTTCATGCATAGCAATGGCATGTCATGTTTTTATTCCAGGTCTATACCTAAGGAACACTACAAGTGGTAAGGGAGTAGAGGCAAAGAGAGGCAAATAAGCATGCTTACAGAAAAACTGTATTTTTGTGGTACCTGACCTAGAGAGTAACTGCTTAGAAGCTGTCTAGAAATGCTAACTACATTCTTCCTCATGTTTAAGCTATCAAATGACCCACAGAAGTTAAAGGTGTTAAGTTAAAGTTCCCCTCCAAGACTCTGTAGGGGAAAAATGTACCTCAGTTAATTGCAGACTGGGGGTTCATGCTAATTCTAGAGCTGCTGGGTTATGACATCCTCCATCTATGCACGGGAATTTAGTTACTGTCTATGCACGGGAATTTAGTTACTGCCCATAAGGCACACCAGAGAAATCAAGGGAAAAAAACCCTGAACAAACAGTACCAGAGGTTACATGTCATGAATACATAGGGGAAGGCAGAGTGCCTTGAGCCTTAAACAGCAGCCCACTGAGCATCCAAAAGGTAATTACACGGAACAGACTAATTGATAACCAGCAAGACAGTTTGTTATCTATATATGACTAAGTTTTCCATAGCTCTGGCATAGTGCTTGGTATTTTATTGACAAGTACAGGAAAAGAAATTTCATCTGAAGACAAGTACAGGCAAAGAATCAGAAAAGGCAAAGCAACCGAACAGTTAAATTTGGCAGTTCTGCTTTTAAAAATAGTTTTCTTATATTTATATTACAATATGGGCTAAATTAAAAGGATTATGAGTTTAGGCCTAAAGGCTCAGTGAATGCTTATTATCATTATTGTGTTAAGCACCAGTGATGTGCTTGGGACTATACTAGACAGCCTCAGCCCTGAGCAATTTAGAGTCTAAACCAGAAAAGGATAAAACAAGGTGTATTGAAAGATGCAGAGCAATGCTGTAATTGGGAAATCTTCCCATAATATATAAAATGAAACAGAGAAAGCTTTAAACTGAAGGGGTGGTTTCTGTGAACTTCCTAGAAGAAATGAGTCTCTAAAAACATCTCAGCAAATGGAGATTGCAAGCTGCTATGTTGGTGTTAGGGAGCTTTCTGGAAGACATGGGAAGGAAACAAAAGACATGGGAATGTTGCTGTCAGAACCTGGACATACGGAAGTCATGGTAAGAAATAAGATCTGAAATGTTAGTAGGATGAAGTTTCATAATATCAAGCTGGCACAGAGACTAGGCTGAAAAAACTTACAAAGAACAAATGCACGTTTTAGCTACCAAAGTAATTTTTATATGTGATTGGGCATAGCTGCAGGGGGAATTGAGAACTGCAGGTGTATATCAGGCAGAGGAGACAGATGAGTCAAAGATGACCGCTAGTGGAGAGAGGTCAATTGAAAAGAAGTAAAGAAGGCAGAACTGGAGGTAATTTAAACTTAAATTCTACAGTGACTAACAACTCAAGAAAGAAAGAAAAGCTGTCTGAAGTACCTTTCTCTTTTGCTTTCAATATATAGAAAATCCCAAGGGAAGAAAACCTCACTGAAATTAATATTAGTTATGAAAGTAATAATTCCAGGACATCGAAACATTTACATCTTCCCTAATTAAAGAGAACAGGATGTTGTTTATAAGAGCAGCTTATTCTAAAGTGTTACTTATCCCTACAGGGAAATAGCCAGTAATAGCTACTCCAGAAGAGCTATTCCACAGCTGATCCTCAAGTTTGTGCTCTTCTCCCACAGTCAGTGCCTTTTTAGTCCATCCTAGTAGTGCCTTAAGCTAAACTGAAAATCAAACTCAAAGTACAGGAGCATCTATACAAGATGCTAGTCCAGAACAGCCTTTACATTTTAAATTCAGGCTCCAGTTCTTTTCAGAGTATGCCCAGATAGCTTCATTTTTAAGTTTTTATCCCACGTAAGAAACTGGATTCAAATATTCTTCAATAGATGAAATAAAAATGAAAAAGATGAAATGGAAACATCTGCCTAAAAAGGTAAGCTAAGCAAGTGTCAGGAAGAGGGTCCGCTTGTAGTCTTGTTTTAACTTGTAGCTTACATCTCCACCTGTAGATGGGGAATTTTGACTTTTTCTTTAAGGAAAAACCCAGTCCCTGATTTGATTGATACTCATAGAAACAATTTAAGCAGCATCTGGATGTAGATAAAATTTTATAATACAACACTTAAAATAGATGTAAACTGCCTATCAGTTAACATTGCAGATAATGTAAAATAATTGCATTAGACAAGCATGCAACAGCTACAGTTTCTAACTCTAATCTGAGTTTCCTAGTGGTACTCTGACACTTTTATTTTCAGTGTTAGCAGCTCCAAAGCTCTTCCATTATAAAGACCTAACTTCCTTGCTACATTTCTCAGATTGCCAGTTTTGGTGTGAAAATAGTAAACATACTAAATAAGGTGCTTTTTTCATTAAATAACGAACCTTTGTTTTTAAGATTAGGATGGCTGATCTTCCTTTCTTATGTTTTTATCATATCTGTTCTTTATATCTACCTGAATATACATTTAAGTTGAATAGTTATTTCTTTAGCAATTCCAAAAAATAATGTAACAAGAGAGTTCAGCACTTTACCTCCAATTTGCCATGTGCACAGCCTAATAGCAATAGGTTGGCTCTGTCCCTCTCACAGGAAATAGGAGACCAAGGCCATGCTCCATCACTAGTTGCTGACCACCAGCAAATGACCATATCTTGCATACAGTTTATTGCCAGGTGACGTTTCATCCTTCTACCTTCTGGTCCAAGTATATCGGTATGAGAAATCTGATGGAAGAAAAAAATGCAGGAAATATTTGAGGTGATAAAATAGCATAGTAGGAGCAATTGGGAGCATTTACTTTGGATGTGTGAAAGAGAATGTATATATACACAGAGGACTGCGTACATATATCTTCATATAGGCTGTCTGTAAATGTAAAAAATATCTCCTCAGACAGAAAAAGACGTGCTCACACTTTTATCTATGGGGAGGGGATTGGGAAGGAAAGGAATGTGAGTTAAGAAGGAATTTACTGCAATGACTCCAATCAATACCAAAATGTACAGTCATGGTTGCTTGACAGCATCGACCTACACATAGGATTTAAGCTTAGCCATATTAAATGACAAGTTCTGCAAAGCTGACCAGGGAGCTAAGGCTAGTGTTTAAGACATAATCAAATATTAAATATATTCTACAGTGTTTGAGCAAATATATATCTTTCTTTTTCCTCCCTAAATTAAGGAATCCAGATACAAACATCTACTTTGCAAGAGAATATATACTTTTCTGCATAATGTGGATGAGCTACAGCATCATGCGTAAAGTTTATGCAGCTCTTGAGAATTGTGCCTCTTTCTCAGGAAGGATTTGTGGAATTTATTATTCAAACTCTGTTATTTTGGAGCATGGTTATTTGAAAACATGAGCAGTGCACCATCTGGGTGACACATGCCAAGGAAATATAGATTGCACCGCATTTCTGCTTAAGGAATTAATGGAAGGTTGATAGCTAGGGGAAAAAAAAACTATCTTGCCATTGCTGGTCAGCAATAATCGAACCACTTTCTGGGGATTAAGCGCATGGCTAAGCCTACTGGACCAGACACTAGCAAAGGGCAGGGGGTCTTCTTATCAGAGAAATGCTTCTGGAGCCAGTCTCACTACATGACAGATTGCTTTCATATTCCTGTCTGCAAGGCAACAAAGGATGGCAGTAATGCGATAATGCCAGAGTGCAATGGGTGTTAAGAACCCGTTGCATTTATGTATTGTATTTAGTAAATAATCAGGCTCATCCAAACTGTGATCTCACCACTCAACCAAGGCCATTAAAATCAAGGTTAATGCTTTAATAATCCTTTGCTGTTTTTTATATGGTCAAAAAGAACCCTTTTCTATTTGCATGGTCATAATATTATTGACCTCTTCATCCCCTGAATACACATCAAAAGGAACTGAAATCAAAGTAATTACCAATGTTGTTCTCTCATGGTAAACATTTAACTCCTTGTACTGTCTCCTCCTTCAGTAAATTGAAATGGATTAAAAAAAAAACACAGACGGGAAAAACTTGTAAAAGCTCAATATTTTCAGAATATGCTATGTTTTACTTGTCAAAATACTCTTTAGAAGTGTAAAGATAAAACATACATAAAAGTTAGCAGGTAGTTGATACTTGAATTAAAACTATATATAAATAGTTAATTTGGTGACAACACATTTATTAGGATGGAAAAACACAAATACTTTTACAGATATCAATTAGTGCTGTATTGCAGCGTTAACTGTTCATAACAATTTCACATGTAATAACAGCCACAAATCTTTTGTAAACCTTTACATCTTGCAATTAGACATGGCACTTTGAAACATGGATTAATGCCACTGAGAAAAGGCAAATGATAATAGTTGGTTTTGTATTTTGCTGGTCTTCAAGACTGTAGTGATTCATACAATAAGTCTTCCTTTCTTTTTTCAAAGTGTAAATAAAATCCAAGCTGGTATCGTTTAGAAAGGAAGAGGCTAGAGAAAGCAATTCTTCCATTTAGGTATGTATTGTGTAAAAAACAGAACTTTTGGATAAACATCAAATTGTGAGGAGGAAAGCATGGTTGACTTGTTCTTATTATTAATAGCACTCTGGCAGTCCAGTACTGCCTAGAGTTCCCTGCCAATTTTGCCCACCATGAGGCTGGACAGTGAACAATGTGATGTTGCTTCTTTCCAGGTACCAAAGAAATTACAAACATAAATATAACAGAAATGTAATTATATCATTACATATGATTGTAAGCAAGCATTTTCCTCATTTTGGAAATGGGAATTTAAACCCAAATACTACGTACATTTCTCAAGGCTACACCAAAAGTCAGAGGCAGAGATGAAGGCTACACTCAAATATCCTGAATCTTAGCTCCATATTTTAATCTGTGGTAGTTTTATACCAGTGCAAGCTACCTTTTAACTCAATATCTCTTGAAAAAAAATTAACACTAAGGAACTGTTTTTTCTAAAGGGTGTATTGTTACAAGTTTGGACATTTGCAATTGAGGACCATCTTTTCTTTCTTTTGTTTCTACTGATAGCGACACTACTGTTGACTGTGTCTGTGATCTTTTAGCTTTTGTAAGTTTGACCAAAAGCATCCATGAAGAACTCTAATTCAATGCAGAGAGCTGACATAATATTATTGCAGTAGTGAATAATACTTTCTGCTGGCTCACACTGGTGCAGTTTTAAAGATAATAAAAATTATATTTAGCTGCCTAACTAGCAAGCCTCACACAAAAGAACAGTAAATTAAAAAATGCAAATGCCTTCTTTTGGCTGGCAAAGAAATAATCCATAGTGATTCCCACTGATTTCAAGAGAAAGCAAAGTTAACATTGAACATGGAGGTGTTTCTAGAAGCTCAGCTGTGTCAGCAAAGAACTGAACATAACAACCCTATTAAGGAATACAGCAGATATTTCTGGTTTCCTAGGGCAGAGAGAGTTTTCTATGGATTAGCCTTTCCTTCTTTCCCAAGAAAAAAACACGATAAGCATTAGATCCAAAATGTGCCCAGCAATACTCAGAATGAAAATATATTTTATAAACATATTATTAAGAAAGAAGAAATACTTACTAAGTATTTCTAAACATAAACTAAGTAAGGAGCTATAGCCCTCACAATTAAATGATGAAGGCAGTCCAGCTCACCACAGCTTCTTCGTTAAAGTTTAGAGCTATTAAAAAAAACAACCCACACCACACACCACCCTTGCTTCTAAAGCACAACCTTAACAAACACCATAGGCCAGGCACAAGCACACATCATTTTAAAGTAAACTACGTATCAGCTCAGTTCCTGGTGAACAGTGAACTGTCTCAAATCCACGTTATAGAGGTTGGATCAATCTCGCAAACACAAGTCATTGCTGAAAAGAGGCCCTGAACTGAAACAGCCTGGAAAATGTATTAGATATTCATCCTAGCAGAAAGTATTTCTACCAAGCAAGTTAAAACGTAATATGGCAAAACTTAAATTAAACACATCCTTAAAAAGCTTGCCTTGCAGATAGATGCAAACTCCCTTATGTGAGGAAGCAAATTACTCAGGAGTTGTCAAGGAGAAAATATTTGCTAGCACAAGATTGTTTTCCTTAACATTTATCCAGTTTGAAATAAATAAAAATTCTCTCTTTTGCTTACTACATCTTTCTACCTTTCTTGGGCAAAGGCTTGTCTCTTCTTCATTCTTGCAGTGAATTGGATGCAGCCCCTTTCCTACTCTGCCTGTTCAAAGTTAATTGCCTTTGGCTGATTATTTTTTCATACTGTTGTAGTGCCAAGCACTTCCACCTAAGGTCAGTCACTGCCCTGATGTCAAAGAGCTTATGGTCAAAAATAAGTTATGTCTACATAGCCCAATCCATCCAAGACACAGTGTAATTCAGCTTAAGATGAGCTGGTTTCTACTGACATCTAAACCAGCTAGTTTAAAGCCAGCTCAGCTATCTCTAGACTACCTTTCAGCTACTGCTGTGACTATGGTATAGACACATCCATATATAAAGGGCTAGAAAACTGGAATATTCTAATCTTCACTGTGTAAGTAGTGAATTGAGATACAGAAGCACCAAGTCATTTGCCTAAGGTCACATACATAGTTTGTCAGTGGTGAGAAACTCAGCTTCTGTATCTTCAGTCCTAGCTCGGTGGCTTAATTGTAAAACCAGCTCTCCTGACAATATGATTACTGTAACTAGAGGGAAAATTAAGATTTCTGCAAAGAATTACAACAGTCTTGGAGCTCAGACAGATGACTGAATTATCGTAACTTCATGAGTTCGTGTATATCAGCTGAGCCATAGTAATTGACCATGCGTGCGTTTTTAGCCCACAGCAAACAAGAGGTAAAACACATTAGCTTAAATCTTTTACACTGAGGTTTACCATTACAGATTTCGCTTCATGCTTGTTAGATGCTGAGAATGTGCAAAGGGTCAGTTACTGCTGCTCAACTGACACAAGGTAATCTGTTAAGCAGGGGTAACTCAGCTGTGTGTCTGAGCCCTTAACCTAAATACAGTAGAAAATTGGATCCCTCTTGGCACAGTATTTTAACTTATTAACTCAGAATGCCATGTAATTTTTTTTGACTTTTCAATAACTGCCGTTTTTAGAATTTGAGCTGTTCTGATCAGTTATGTAAAGGTTTGCAATTTATACTGCTATACCATATAAGCAAGTACCAGTGATTCATAATGTAAAGTTACTGCAGTATTTACAGTCACCATTGACAGCTATACCTTAAAGTCCAAACAAGAGAGTTTTTCCAGTCTTTTGTTTACATCAGGAGAATCCATCTTCTTTGTAAACTGAATAAAGCAGAGTTGGTTATGGTCCTCAAATGACAAGATGATGAAATTGTCTGTAAGAACAGCTGACAAACAAATAAAAATTGTCACCACTGTAATACCTGTTTCTAGTAACAAAACAAATTATTGAACCCTCCACTGAGACATTGCAAAAAGCAATTTTTTCAAGACAGTGTCTTAAATATTACTCCAAAGCCTCTGTAATCTCCTATAAGACATCAATGTGTCATCCTGCCAGGACCCCCTTGGAAATAAGAAATAAAGCCTAGGGAGTACTCCAATTACATAAACCTGAATAAATTATCTCATATCAAGTTACCACTACATACAAATATATGTTTTATGTCCTTCCACATTCATTTTCATCTTGGTTCAGCCTTCAGCTTTTTTTTCTTATGGTAACATCCACCAGGATTTTGGAAATGCACCTAACGCAGCGTTGCTTGTATTAAGGATGATAGATGCAAATTAGTACTTGAGGTGTATCTGGTATTTTGACATTGTAAGGTTCCGGGTGCTGCTGCAGAGGCTGCTACATATAGGATTATGCTTTAGAAATGTTATGATTTTGTTGAAAGCTTCACATGGGGGCACCTGAACAGTACAGGTAACCAAGATGGAGCAGACTCCCTTGGAGTCTGGAAAAGTGCAGTAGAATCGCCGCTGTTATCATAATGGGGTGCTAGACCAAAATAGTTCAATATAGAAGTGAATAACTAATTTGACAATGAAAATTAGTTAGACAATAGTATCTGGGATTTTTCCGAAGTGTTATCCAGTTATTCAAGCAGTGCCCACATTTAAAGAGATGTCTGAGAATGAAGTGAGTCATTGAGGTAACTAGTACCAGATCACTGAAGAACTGTTAATGAGAATCAGGTTTAAAGTAAAGCTAGCAAGCTGTTTTCAGAAAGCAAACTCAGAAAACTCTGCTAAAAGGAAAATGCCAAATAAAGTGGAATCAGATTTAAAAACAAACTAACAAAACCCTGCAGAACAACCCTGAAAAACAAGAAAATGCATTTGTGACTAATATCCTAGATTCTTAAATGCATTTTATATATCCTTAATTAGATTGACAATTTTGTCTTACGTATAAGCAGTGAAAACTGGCTACTCAGCTTTGCTTTGATTCAGTCTGATTTACAACCAGTTTCATTTTCCAGTAGTCATGTACTGGCACAGCTCTGAAGTATCTAGTATGCAAATGCTAAAGGGTAAAGTTTAAAGCCAAATAATTGCCTTTGAAAGGTAACATAAACACTAGCTTTTGAAAAAAAAAATGGTGATAAAGTATCTGACATGGCGAGTTAGAAGCTATAGCTGAGATCCTAAACACACATGAAAATTCAAAGCCACTAAGTACAGTATCCTCAATAGGTACACAGTTAAAATATTTTGATACCCTCACAGACATAGTTTACATTAAAGTTGACCTGCAGCACACCTCAGATGCTTCTGAAATCTGTTTTGGTTCAAGGAAAGAAAGCAGGATTCAAAGATCCCTGGGCAGGTGTGCACGAGATTAGCAGTCCCTTGATTTTCAGTATCTGTGGTTGTCTGGGGCAGGAGTGGAGACCAGACTGACATGAATGCAACTATGGGCATAGTTAGACCATTATTCAGAGAGAATCCATGTGCTGCAGAGTCAGATTACCTTAAAAAGGCAGGCAGTGTAGTTAATATTCTATATACTAGTACTGCAAGACCTCAGTGCTGCAAAATAATTTAGAAAATGAGAAATACTATTTTCTTTTAGAAAGTAATTTTTCTATAATTTGTAATTAAATTTATTTTTTAATTTTGCCTATAAATAATAAAAATCAGGAGGACTTTATTAGAGGCTGGAGGATTATAAATGCAGTCTTAATTCTGTATTTTATGCACACAATCTGACCTTTATTCCAAATGTTAAGAGGGCATGCTACTCTGAGTTAGAATTACAACATTTCATAAGTAATTTTGGCAGATTGTAATCTTATACAGTTCTACATATACACAATTGTTAAAATAAGAACTATTATTTTTATATACACTTCTTGTATTATATATCGAATTTCTTTTGGCCAACTTTATAATCACAACCCTAATTCCAACCTAGATTTGGAAAGACAATAATTGCAATAATTTGCAATTATGTTGGGTTAAAGTTAATTTATTCTAGGACAACATTATGTTGTGGTTCTCCGAAAAGGATAGTTCAGCATAAAGATTTGTATTTTGAATGCTATTTGTGCAGGTAACAAAAGTATCCTCTTTTGTTGTTCATGAAAAAAAAAAAACGTATTGCAAAGACAGGTATTGTGGGTTTTGTTTTTACTGAACAGAAGCAGTCCTGTTTCACCTTCGGTCATAGGTATTACCAAACATAGAGGTTTAAGAAATTCCTGAATAAGTGAAAATAGGGGCAAACCATTATATAACGTTATTTATAGCAGTTTGAGTGGTATAACTGTAGGAAATTTGTTGCTTTATTATATTTTAGTTGTAAACTTTTTTAGTTAGAAGTATTTTAAAAAAAATATTTGTATTTATATGACATATTAAGCCAATGTAAAGCAAGATATGTATAATTTCATTATATATTCATTATTTACGATTTTTTTTTTAAAAGACAGAGTATTCAAAATAAGTTCTACAAACAACTTCAATTTGGGTATAACCTTAGCTTCAATGCTTTCCTACTTTTTGCCACCTGAAAGTAGGAAATCCTCCCTCTGGAAACAGAGGGCAGAAAAATCTGAGATGGATTTAGTAACCTAGTAAGTGAAGAGTGAAAAAAAGGAGTCAAGACATTAAAAGTGTTTTACACTCTCTGTGTAATTAATTGATAAAAAATGAGGTTAGGGTTAATTTTTTTGATACTAAAGATTCTACTAACATATTAATGTTAGTTTTCAAGATTGAACTACAACATACTGATAAGAAAAGATCAGATGGACACAGTACTGCAGCTTTCTTATGCATGCCAATACTCATAGATGCCTGGGTATGGAAGAAAATAAATCATTAAAGATCAAAGCTAAATCTAGTATATATTCTTATTAAAAGGATGCAATTTAGGTCTACTTTTTAAGAATTTGGAAGATAATGTACATGTAATTTGGCTTGCGCCCAAATTCCACATTCTTGATCATGCAGATGCCAAGATACTGACAGCTGGTTGGGTTCTCAGTGGAGCTCTGTAGAGACACATTGAAAAAGCTATAGTCGCACTACAAAGCTGTTAAAACTGGTACATTTTCATAACCTTTCTTCTGCATTAAACTAAAACTTCATTTTTAGCAGTCACTAGTTAATAACAATAGTGAGATTCCAGAAATCTAGAAACTAAATCAGCACACCTTCATGTAACTAATGTTATCCAGCTTTTTCCAATAAGTAAATATTTTAATAATAACTATCCCATGTAATTAATCAGTTGGCTAATGTTTGTTTCTGTCCCATTTTCCCACTTACGAAATAAACATGACAAGTTCAAATGGTGTGTTCACAGTGATTAAAATGTGTAAGAAACTGAATTTTAGAAACCCATTTGGTACTTGACAAGCCTGAAAACTTTGATCTTAAATATTATTCTTAAAGTGTTCTTAGTCCTGAGGGTTGTAACTATGGCTTTACATGCAATTACTCGTTGTGTCTGAAGTCCCCGGTGGCAATAATTAGTCTACCTGTTGACATACTGTTTCTCTACTCTATTGTTAATGTAGGCAATTGATTCGCACGTGGGTGTAATTACCATCACTGATGGTGTTGGAGATGAGCTTCCCCACCAGGGTCCTGTCAATCACCACTTTCTCCAGCTGTGGCCCAGAAAGGCTTAGGGACACCAATATACCTGAGTGAAAGAGGAGCTAAATCCAAATAGTGAGAAAACAAGACATCAAGAATCATTAATAAAGTGAAACGTTCCAAGGTACATATTAGCAGCTGTCCATTATGTAGTAACCTAATTTTCAAAATTACAACAAAGACTTATCGTTGATGTGAAGATGTCTTATAATGACTTTGAAAGCTTTTTCAATGAAAGGTAGAGGCGTAATATGACACTGAATTATACAGGTACAAGAATTACAATTGCTGAACACTTGAAGAAGATGTGTGCTAAGTCCCCAAATGCTGCAGAAAATGTACTGAATTAGTTTGTTAAAAACAGAGATAAAAATTCTGCCCTGAATGAGTAAAGGGATGATGCTGATCACTCTATCATCCATGGACCTGATTTTTTCTGTGTAAAATAACTGCATAGCCTGCATGAAGAAACATATAAAGTTGGGCTTCATGGAATTTTATCTTATTATCACAGATTAAAACCAGCACCTTTTTGCTGTCCTTGTTATTTCTGATCATTCATATATTGTTTAATTTAAATAATGGTGCCCTGCCACAGTGATAGCTGTGGGCTCCTAGTAAATCCATATACTCCTTGGCATAAGGTTATAGATGTCTCTATAAGAAAGAAGGAATTTAAACCATTGGACAGAACAGTCAGAGGCTTATTTCAGAGTTAACTGAATATTTCTGCCTAATTAATCTCAATTAAATGATACATGTAATCTTGAAGACTAAGTCACAGTACTTATCAGTGCCTTCTGACGCCATATCTTGTATGAGAGAGAGAATGCTCAGTGGGAGGAGTTATGAAAACCATTTCTTTTTGCATAATTAAACCATTAAACTTAGTCATTTTCTGAATGCGTCTATTACAGCAAAGAAATTCAGAAAAGAAACCCCATAAAATTCCCTGCTCCATTGTGAGTTGACCTCACTTTGCCAAGTTACTCCAGTAGCAGAAGTATGTGAAAAGCTTTATTAGAGAGAGATTGTTTTCTTAATACCATGGTAAAAGATAAAGTCAGGGGTTTACAAAAAAATTTCTGACCATATTAATTAACTCATTGCCAAACTTGGGTTCTACAGAAACCCTGATGTAAAATCAGTGAAAAAAATCACTACTGTGACTTTGATCTTCACATGCAGTACTGAAAACACAAATGTACTTTAATTTGTCTTCCAGTGCCACCTCTGATCCTGCAAGCTGCTACACTACATGACCTCAGCGTCTAAGTTAAAGTTTCAGGCCAGTTCTCATCCCTGCTACATGGCAGCAGTTCTGAAGGACTCATTCTGGCAGCTAGGTTCATCTCCCTCTAATGAGTTAAAAAAAAAAAAAAAAAAATCATTATTCCTTCAGCAGAAGCTATACCAGCCCTAAACTTGCTGAACAGTATTTTCTGCCAAAGGAATCCTCAGTGGAAAGACTGTTGCAGAAACATACAGAGGGCTCACCAAAGGTCAGAAATCTGGGACTCCAGCTCTTACTTCCACCTAACAGCAGATCTTTAAAGAAATCTCTGTGCTTTTAAAAATCTTACTACTAGAGAAATACTTGCTCTTGTAGTAGAATTTGGCATAAAAATCCCTGTTTGTTTTATGCTAGGGCTGTGAGACAAACATAGTTGCATACTTTTTAGTACAACACACTGGTATATAAACACCAGCTGAACTTCCTTGCAGTGAGATCTACTGGATTGTATAATAAATAAAAAGGACTGGGGACAGGAATGTAGCGATCTAATTGAGCTTGCCTCTTGTGCGATGCTCTGCTCCCAATACTTTAGCTGTGAAAATTCTCAGTTGTACAAATTTTGCTATATTACTATAGCTCTGTGCAAAGAGCAGGACAAGCATATTTAAATAAATTACCTTCTTGCCCTGACTAATATCTTTAACCAACATTTTTCCAATCTATCTTCCTGTCAATTCACAGTAGTTTGAAAAGAAATTCTAGTGACGTCTGAAATAGAAGTAAAAAATATCTGTGATGTGAAATGAATTTGTTAAGAACAAATGATCATTTCCCATCCTACCAAAGTCTAATCATGCATTTGTTTGATAAATATATATAGCCAATGTTTCTATATTCCCTGTTATGACAGATGTCCTTTAAGGTTTTGTCCTAGTAAAAATGTTAGACACAGTTACACTCATGCAGTTTTTATTACAATCTTTCAAAACTTCAATTTAACCTTATGTTGAAGTTGGATTAGATAAAATCACAATTTATTTCCAACCTGATAATGTTAAGTCCAGCAAGGTTTGACTACAGTTGGCTACAATTGTCCAAAGAACTTAGCTGAAAAAGTGAGGGTTGAAAGCCAGAAGGTGACAAACTACGATGCAAGCAATGATCAAGCAAAATTATATAAATACTCTAGAAAGATCAGTTCTAAATTACTGAATGAATATCAGCCTGCCAGAGAAGAATAAAACACCCCAAATCCTTCAGTGTTACGTCCCAACAAGAGAGCTGGTGCAGCCATATAAACAAACTCCCCAACTTGTGTCTTCCACAACGCTTTTGCTTCAGAGCTATGTTCTTCCCTCAGAAAATGTTACTGTAATGGTAGGTTGCTCCCATGCTTCCTTTCCTTGCAGGGAGTGAGAAGAGCATCCTGGAGTTAACCTGGGAGAATAACCTAAACAAATCAGAAGCCTGTGTGTAGCCTCTAGGTTTACTGACAGACTAGGAATATATACCACCCCTCCAGGTAAAGAGGAGAGGCAAAACACAGGAAAAAATGTGTTTTGATCTGTAGATGGTCAGTGATCTTGAATGACTGCATTATTGAATGAGGCCACATGCTTGTCATTCTGCTGACATCTAATATGTCTACCCAATACGCTGTATAGAGACGTGCTTGCAAACTCTCGGCTTGAGAGCAACAGATAATGTTAGGATTCTTTAACTCTTAAATGTTTCAAGGTGTAAATTCACTTTAAGCCTATATGTTCATTTCCTGGTAATGCCATAAATGACACCTGTTACAGAGCTAGAATAGAAATCAATGAAAACTGCTCCAGCGTATGATGGCAAGACATTTATATAAATATAAAATATTGTGCTAATGGGTGTGCCTTGCTTTACATCTATGAAACTAATCATTAAACCAATGCTATGTATTTCCAGTATCGCAGAGATCTCTACACTATCAGTATGTCATGATAGAATGACAGAAAGTACGTAAAAATAATATACCTTCCATGGCTTTTATTGTTTCTCCCATTGTGCTCCCTCCTTTATTTTTACAGTAAAGCAATTTTTCCTATTATTCTCCACATAAGTTTGAGATATTTGGGCAAAACTTAAATTTTAATTTAACAAATTTTTGCTATAATAATTTACCATGGTTGGTAATATACCAGTGCTCCACAGGTTTAAGTCCTTCCCTCTAGGAACTTGAGAGACTAAATTTAAAAAGTAAATCAGAGACCTTACACACTATAAGGCCATGTAAGGTCAGTATTTCTTCCACCTCCCTTTAAAAATCCTTTTCATTAGAATGGGGTCTTTTTAAAAAATAGTTCTTAAAGTTTACCACGAAATACAAGCAGCTATTTAAATAAAGCAGGGAAGTGGTCGAGTTACCATCCGTGGAGGTATTTAAAATACATGTAGATGTGGCACTTAGGGACGTGGCTTAGTGGTGGACTTGGTAGTGTTAGGTTAACCGTTGGCCTTGGTGACCTTAAGGATCTTTTCCAACCTAAATGATTCTATGATGCTACAATTCTATATTGTCTTTTTTAAAAAATATTCTGTAAAAGAGAAAATATTTACGTCTTGAATTGAAACCACTATTTCAATTCCTTACTCACTGTGTAGTCTATGCAAAGACTGTTACATGATAATAAGATTTAGGTGCTGTTATACATAAGCTTGCACAGTTAAGCTCATATTTTGGTGGATGGGAATAGTCCAATCATAAGCATGAATGGATATAAAGCAAATGGGGAAGATTGCAACCTTGGCTTGAACACAGATACACAGTGATCCAACGGCTCAAGGGAATTCCCCATCATTGCTAAAGAATAAAGGCAAATGTAAGAGGCATTATTTACACAAGACACGAAGTCATTCTATCTAACAGATATCAAATTAGGGCAAGTCAAATGAGGGAAAGAAACTCACAATAATGAAACGTCACAAATTTTTCGGACTGAAGTACTGCTATGTGAAAGATAGAAATCAGAAGAGTCATCAGCTTTAACGGTCTCAAGGTATTCCTAAATAAAATATGAAAGCATGACTTCATGCCTATTGGAAGAATAGGCATAGCCTTTGTACTTGAGCATAGTCTGAGTAAACTATTTGGGCGTCTGGTCATTCTACATGCTGGGAAGGAAGGGACACTTAATTTCTGTGTTACTGAGGAGTCGAATGTGAAGACTTTGATAGAAGGAATTATGTACTTTGTGTGCCAAAAATGGTTCTCTAATGAGCAAGAAAGGCGTAAGAAGGAGCAGAGGATACTCAGGAGAAGACTTAGCCCTTCCCTTCCCCAATAGCAAAGTGCTCCAATATGTATTTGAGTTACTTTTTATTAAGCAAAGGACTTAAGTACAGGCTCATGACTTACTGACTTTAGTAGAACTTAAGCATGTACTTAAGTGGATTCCTTTATCCTCGGAAGCCTTAGCCCTTGACTCCTCATTCATGCAGCTTAGCTGCTTATCAGTCGTTCTACCTAAAAAGATACCTGCAGAGGAAAGCCAGGATTTGCTTCTATCTGATTAAAATTGGAAGAGAAGGGATCTATGCCTGTAAAAAATATTGCTGCAAACTGTTTTCCCTTACAGAGCCCAACTGACAAAGGAATATGCAAAAGGAGAGAAGTGCAAAGCATTTCTTGTTCAAGCAGGTTCCCAGGGTTTTTCCCCACCTCTTCATTCCAGATTGCTTTCTTAGCCACCCTACTGTAATTACTCTGTTGCATGCCTTATTACAGATGAAGTTATTGTTGTTACATGTTACTGTTTCACAATAATCAATGCATTTGTACTTCTAGCTCCAGATCTCTAAAACCACACAACACATTAACGGCTGTGATCAAAAGCAACCAAAAGAATTTAATATGAGGGCAGCGTTCCTCTTAGTAACTGGTGATGGGTACTAGCTTCCCATGTATTCTAGCCAGAATGTCTTGATTTTGATATCAGATGTGCTACTGTATGTCACCACATATCTTGCTGAATCAGTTTGCTTATAGGCATTGTAGCTGATGTAACAAGCCATGTCAGCAAATATTGCTGTGTATCTCAATTCAGAATCCAGTTCTAAGTATGTCAATGATGGTAACATAAAACCCATTCATATATATATGTAAATTGAAACACAAATCAAATTAAATCAAAGTAATGTAGCAAAGAATATATACACCTTTTTCATGAGCAGGTAACAAATATGATTCACAGCTAGTGCTTGGCTTTTATACAATAAAATAATTCAGTGTTGGCATGTGTTTAATTCTACATCGTAATGCAAATGTAAAACTAAAAAAAGTTGGAAATCAAATGTTTCGGCTAGATCTCATTAATTTTTACTACCTTATATTGTAAAACCGAACCTGATTCAATGGTATCATTTCATAGGATTGATTTTATGATTTTGTGGCAAAACTTAAAAGCATTCCAAAGAATTAGAGAAGGAAACCAAGAAGAAGGGAAGCAGCCAGAGCTGAGTTGAGTAAATTCAACAATATTGATAAAATTAATTCCTTAGATTATTACTCCTCGGCAGGGAAAGCTGAGGAATAAATTGTTTATTTAATTACAAACAATACAGTGGCATCTCATTGTAAAGACTTCTTGTCTTTTTTCCCCGTCATCCTTCTTTTATGGTCTATTTATTTTCCTTTGACACCAACTAACTGAAGATTACGGGATTATTTCAGCAACTCATCACAGGTCATCAAAGCTGGGGTTCAGAAGTACCATACAGAAATGCCGTGCATTGAGATCCTATTGGAACAAGTAGGAACAGAGCTAAAGGAAAGACCTCACTCCTTTAGGGCTCAACTAAGCTCTTTTAAATAGAGGAGCAAGCTCCTTGACAAAAATCCCTGTACAGTCTAGGTTGTGTTTACATGAACTGGCACATCATCTATTTCAGAAGCTCTAAGCAGTACTAGAATGTATACTTAGGACTGCAAAAATAAAAGTCAATGGATTTTTTTTGGCAATGGACAAGGAAGTAAATATGAAACTTCTAATGCACCAACTGTATAAAAAAAGTAATAGGAGAAATTTTGATGCATAAAATGAAACATTAAGAAAGGTAGAAAGCTGGGCCAGCATTATAGTAGTTCCAAGCAAACTCACAGAAGACCCAATTTTGAGAAATACATTCATACAATGGACAAGATAATCTGCATGCAAACTAACTAGATTTTTCATTGAGGCATATGCATGATGTCTAATTGGTCATTTGCACACAAACAGTTAACATAACAACACCCCTATTTTTAGCAGATGCATGTTTAAATTTATAGCCCCCAGTTTTTGCCTGTTGGCTAGTTAGAAGCTCGGAGTGCTGGAGAAAGCAGTGAGGGATTAGGAATAGTGACATTTAGGTTCCAGAAGGCACACTAGCAGCAGTTCTATGCCTGTTTTTCACAAAATCTGAGGGAAATCATACTACTCTTTTAAATGATAGTCTTGTTATCATTGTATCACCTTTCAGATTTTTTTTTCCATTTGTTCTGTCTTGCTAAAGGTACAACAGCCATTGAGTGTTTGGATAGCACATCGTTACTGCAACACAAAGGGAACTCTTCCTGGTTCAGCTAAAGGTATGGCAGATTCAAATACATAGAACATTTATTGAAAAATGTGGTGGCTGTTGAGTTAAATATTTTAATTTCTATAAATGAATTTATTTGACATTGTATTGCTACTAAAAACCAAAGACCTAAAAAAAAAAGATACCATAATTAAACCATATACTCAGATTTAGCCCAAATCACTGAAAATTACGACAGTCAGGGTAATTCACTACATGCTGTCCATGCTGTTTGTCTGACATGTTGCTTTCTGTTACACTTGAATGTTAATGCAAACATGGAATCTTCTTTTTCCAGTAGCAGCTGCTCTGGTGTCCAACCAAAATAGCATGTGAATACAGTAGTGCTATGACATAGATCGCAGGATTATGTGATAAGCACTTTCTGCTGAAAGAGTTAATTAGTCTCCTACTCAGAATTACAAAATAAATATACAACACCTTTTCCAGAAGCTTCAGAACATTTGTATCAAAAAGGGAGAGTCCAGATATTCCTGCAAAATGCTCAAAGACAGATGAGCAGCAGAAAAACAAACTGCTTGACATAAAAATTGATAGGAGACAGCTTTTCTGTTCTAGACTCTCCCAAAACTATTCTTTTATGTCTGTTTTATTTTTATTTGTTGGAGGGCTTATATTTTCAGGAAGACAAAAAGTGGAATAACACAATTGTTTTGGCAGAACATTCTAAACCCTGTTGGAGACTTCAATTATCAGCCATTATTATATTAAAAACATTTTGTTTTGTGATTGAGAAACCAAAAGCAGAATTCAAGGATGGAGACATGACTATGATTTTTATCTATAACTTTAACTCTGGCTATGTTATAAGCTATACTATCACTTATACTCTGGCTATACAAGCCATCTAAAAGACCCTAAAAAAAAATACTCAATTTATCAAGCTACCCCTTTACATGACTCAATCCAATATAGAGCCAGACCTAATACACTAAGATAAAAACATCCATCTCTTTTCTTTCCCATCTTGTACAAGAAATAAGTAAAATTGTATTTGTCTCCTTTTCGTTTATGTAAGCCTGAAACTACTTAGAGGATGCTAAGTCACAAAAGACAGTTTAATACAGAATTGATAGTCAAGCAAAGGTGTTATATTATAAAAGCAGGATGATCAAATTTGGCAAGTTCACTGTTCCAAAGTATGTATTGGTAAGGAAAGCGGGTGAATACAGATAGATGGGAGGGGAAGGAAAATGACAGAGGGAGAATAGATGGGGAAAGCAAATGAAGAGACAGCAAACTGGGAAGCAGATGAATACACTCATGGCTAATTGACTCAGTATTTCTTAACCAAATTCCTTTCCTAATCAGAACAATAATAATAGGAAAAAAAGAGTCCTCTAAATTAGCATACAATTAATATTTAAATCAGTTATAGAAGATTAACATTCACAGATATATACCATGTAATTGTATGCAACTGATATACATTTACTAGAGATAAGATATAATAGGCAAAATAATATCTTTATTATGATACAAAAAGACTATATACAATTTGGCAGGTCAAGTATTTAAAAATTTTGCTATTCTTATAGACATTTCTGGAATTTCAGCTGTGTAATGTTCAAATATTTAATATTCATCCTGCTGACACACATTTGGAACTACTTGAATTAGAAGAAAAAAATTATGAACCTGAAAAAGCATAAATGTTAGAACACAAAATTTCTTTTTAGAAACAGTATTAGTAATATTTAGAAGTATTCCACATGCCAAAGCAGCTTCAAATACAATGCACATTCCTCATTGAACAATGAAGACTGCAGAAACTTATAAAATATATTATGTATGTTTTTCAGAACAAGCTTATGATTAAGGAGCTAGGGCATGTGTTGTGTTCAGATCTTCCACCTACTCTACTGTTCTGTGTTAACAAGGATGTGAAAAGCTGTTTCTTGTATACAACATGTGGAACTTAAATAGACAGAGAATGTAGCCACGTGTGCCACATGTCACAATATCTTTTGTTCCATAACTTGATTAGTGTTCTAGCTAATTTAGAGTTATAGCTTCCCTCCCATATTACACAACCACAAAGTAAAAAGATTTGTGACAGACATGTAAATAATTAAGATATAAAAATGTAATATAACATAGATTCAACACCTGTCCATATATTTTAACTGCTCCCTTAGCCTGCTGTTTTGAGGAACAGGATACTTTCACTTTCCCCAAATAATAATAATCTCACAGAATCAGGGCCCTTTAATGTAATTTTTCTTGTTGATAAAAACTAGATTTTTGTTTTGTAGTATCTATTTCAGGTTAGAAATTTAAATAAACACAATATAGGTAATAAGAACCCATAAATTTAAAAAACCCAATGATTTTCTGTGTGAGTTAACATTTTAACACTATTGCATCAATCACTGACTGACTGACTCCACTGACTGAACATTGCAAGAGCTTGTCAAAACATTTTACCTGACAGATATGTTTGTTCTTCCATTTGCTCAGCATACATTGACTGTTTTGCATTAAGTCCTAAAGGACAACAGAAAACAGAGAGTGGAGTTGGATATAGTCACTATCAGTTAGCACACTTCTGATTTTCAAGTTTATAGATGAAGCATGCCACACAAAGATGCAGCTGTTCTAGAACAGCCCGCCAGACAAAAGCACATTTATCATCACTGGGAGAGTTAGATCTTTATGAAAATTAAAGCTGTTGAAAGAGGTTTGAAAACTGGATTATATGTTGCTGTACTTGAAACTTTCTGAAACATACCTCTACCTCCTTGAGTGTATCTCGCAGTTTGTCTGGTCGCTTGTTTTTCAGTATCCAAGGATAATCTCGAGCTGGCAAATAGAAGTAAAAAAAAAAAAAAAAAAAAAAAAGAGAAATGTGTATTTATAGGCAACTGTATGTATGTGTGTGTGTGTGTGTATGCATGCATGTGTGTGTGTACAAACATACATTTATATATAATTAAAAAAATGCTTTTCAAGTTGGCCTTCCTTTTCTGTGGAAACACAAAACTAAGATTTCTAGGAGTTACCTTAACCATAAAACTTACCTATAACTGGAAGGCAATGGCTATGGTTTCTATTGGTTTGTATTGTCAAATGATACCCTTTTGAAACGCTGTGTCGTAGGAACAGTTAGCATGAAATATCCACACTGACCAAGACTTTGCCACAGCAATTGTGCACAAAGCTCTCAGGATGTAATCTTACCCAGCTGCTAAGCACTTGCAATGAGAAAGCATCTCACATTTAGTATGTTAACTCAGATTCAAGTTATCAAATCCTAAACAGATACTATTCTTTTGAACTAACATTTCATTGCCTAATTTCAAAAAGCAGGCACTAACATGTCTGCAAAATATATATGCATGAATATATGCATATATAGAGGTCTTAACAACAGGTAATTGTGAACGCCATAACTTATATTATGGAGTATAGTTATTTATAGGATTTGTTCTTGAAAATTTGGTCTGAAGAATGTGCCAAGTCAAGCAAACAAGAAACTGCATAACTACTACAGTCCTTTAACAAATTTATTAATGTTCAGCAAACTATTGTGAAAATTCTGGCCCAATATATTAATCCTGAAAACAGAAAGTGAAGCTGCCTCCGGAGTTGCTAGTAATTGGCTTGTTTCATGGCTGAAAATCAGGCTCTAATAACTTGTGAGATTTCATCATTTAAAAGTGAGCAGTCTTCTGTTCATAAGTATACAATAAAAACCATGAGAAACTAGAACACATTGTCTTTTTAAAATCTAGTCTATTTAAAGGAAACCTGATGAAAAGTTTTGAGCTCTAAGCTGTCAGTTTGTGTGCCAGCTTCCAGACTGAATGACTTAACAGTTGTGTTTAAACCTCCCCGCAAAAAGGAGCTTACAATAGAAGTGCTATAGAGTAAAAAAATGAAGGATTTCATATATCAACAAAAGAGCACACCAACATACAACTTCTCTTTGTATTTTATTGGACTGAAGCCAGTGTTGGTGGAACAATTATGATAATATTAATTAGACATGTAAGATCACATTTTCAATGGGTGCCTTCATAAATACTGGAATATTTATCCACATATGCAAAATGGGAAATTACCTGTACAGATACCAAACTATATATACAAATCAGCAGCTGTGAATAAAGCTGCCCAGTTCTCCTCTTTAAGAAATGTGCTATACAGTGCTTTGTGCCTGGGCCACCCCTGTATTTACAGCAACAAGGTACAGTAGCTTGTGTTCCCTTTGCATGTCACATGTACAAAAGACAACAGTTGGGGCTTCTGTATAACGGGATTTAGCTGGGCCTGCTTCTCTTTTCATACAGGCAGCACCTGTAAGATAATGCTACGCAGAGCACAAGGGATGTAAATCCATTATGCTCCTCCCTACTTATAACCCTTTCTCACCTCCCCACCTTTACAGAGCTGTACTGATTCTGACACACAACCTCCACAGTGGGTGTAGATTTACCATATGGCTGCGTGCACCTTTATACCCATCCCCAGCAGGGCTTCAACCTGCTCCAAACACACCTTATGGTGTTGCAAATAACTTATCCCTCCGGAACACATTTTGCCTTCAAACACACGCACAATTCCATGTGAATTTTCATTATGATAAGATAAAATGTTAAGGCAATTCTTACAGCATACATATTACTTTGTGAAGTCATCTAAAAATCAATTAGATTTTTCAGACTTGTGATGTAATAATGCTTGAACATTAATGAATGTTCTGAGCAATAACAACTATGCAGGAGTTGTAAAACTTGAGCTAAAGAAAAGTTGCACTAATATAAAAATCTTTAACTGTCACAATACTGCTGTGTGATAGCATAAACTGAAATTGCCTTTAACCAGATAATGCAGGAACAGTGTAAATGTTTCAAAGCTAAAAGCATTCTATGAAGGCAGCTGATTATTAACCTGAAATTTGATTTTGGCTGAAAGTCTTTTAGTTATTTTCAGTTTTGAGGCAGTTGGTATTTCAATTCAAGAGCTGATTGGGAAAATGTTTATTGCTCATCTGCTGAGTAAATTTCATAAGGAAAAATCTGGATTGTGATTATTTTTGTTGTTCCTCTTAACAATGGATTTGAGAAGCAATGCACACTACCATGCTTAGTGACACAGAAAAAAACCCAGATTGCAAATATACTAGGAAGGAATAATTGCAACTTTTCAATTGTTTTGTGCTTGTGTAGTTTTGTGACTGTCTGTCTTGGCATGTGCAGAAAGTTACACTGGAAGCAGTCCGAGGTTACTTTAATGCTTTTCCAGGGGCATCACCAATCCAATTAATAATTTGGTCTTGCGGTAACAAGAAACTCGGAAAACGTCCTTACATTCTGCTAGCTTTTGCTTCTCTTCTAAGTAACCATGCTTCATCTGTGATGCTAAAGGAAAGAAAGGATGAAAAGATGAACGATAATCCTTACGACTGCTGTCAGCAAATACTAATATTAGAGAGAAGATTCATACAGTTTGATAAAACACAGAAATTTACAAAAAATTAAGACAGCCCTGATGTTTTCACCTCGTAGGGCAGATATCTTAAATTTGCAGTGAAAGAAAGGCTTATGCAGCCCAACAGGTGGGCCGGCATTACTGAGCCTCCAATCTCATCAGATAGTGAAGTGAGCTGCAACTGAACCCAGCAGAGAAGCTGAGTCAGCCTGTCAGCAGAGCCACGGAGACAGCGTATTAACCACGAAACTCAGCCCGTGGGATGCCCGCGCAAGCCTCCGCTCTAACCTGGCCGCAAAGAGGAAGTAACTCTAGCCGAACAGACCTTTTGGCCCATCGTGAAACTTCTAGGATTAACAGGATTAATCAGATAAAGAAAATGGACCGTTCACTCTGAAATGGCCATTTCAGATACCAGGTAGGGATGCAGGAGGCCAGGGCTGGCACTCTCGCGCGTTCACGATGCCCTCTGCTGGGATTCCAGCAAACACCCAGCTACCACAGCGGCCAGGGTCCGACTGTCCGAGCCTTGCACTGCACAGTCCCTCACAATGATGTTAGTACGCTGTTTTGGTATTCTGCAGCAGGTGAAAGGGCTGCATACAATATAAAATATAATATAAAATATAAGAATTTAGAGTATCAAATCCCACTGAGGTTTCTAATGACATAGAGGTTGTTTTTATGTAAATATTTTTCTGATTTTTTTCTTCTGTGGAATAAAAAGTTTTTAAATATTCTGACGTAACTTGGGTGAGATAATCTCTTTCTGTGCTTCCCTACTCTGTAGAAATACAGAGGCATATATTAACAAGAAATTCAAAGTTGCATTTTTCAGAGCAAGCAGTCGGTGTCAAAGATTGAATATTTGGAACTTTTGTTTAGTTTTAGTTATGGTTATTTATATTTTACCTGGTTCTTTCTTGTCATAGTACTGGTGGATCCCAATATCTTCACCTGTACAATTGAATGTAAATATATTTAATTGTGGATGTGACACTGGTAACAAAACACAACTTAGCAAGCAAAGTTCAGCATCTTAATTTTGCTAGCTGGAGCAGAGCGTTAGGTGTTAAAATAAAAGTGACAGTGGAAAAACTACAGCATATAATCTGCATACCAGTAGGACTTTCATGAACTAGCAAGCAAGGGCTGAAGGAGAACGTGACAGGTCCTTACATTTATTTGGAGCTGTAATTACCTTCACATACACTTTGATTCTCTTCCAGCTGCCAACATGCAAAAGTATTTTTATCACGTTCCTACTTAACATCTTTTATGTTCTTTCATAAGGAAAGGTAAGGATCACTGTGAAAAACGTACCTTAGAATAACTTAAAATGTTTTCTGATGACTGATGCAGCTGAGATAAAGACAACAGGGGTTTTTTTGAGATTCATTAACTCATAAAGCTGCGCTTTCAAACGATTCAATATTATTAAACTTGGATTAATATTAATATAATTATAGGTATTATTGTCTACCTGGTTCCCATGGCAAAGAAATTTAGTTTGACACCACATCTGCCTCCTAAACTCAGAGAGGGATATACCATGGGGAGAAATTCCTTACATGGAGGAATGTAGGAAGGCACTGCAATGGCAGGCAGCTTTTAAGACAAGACAGCAGTCCTCCCTTCTGCCTCAGAATTCTAGAATGAGGTTTGTAGGCAATGAATAAATGGACAGAGAGGAAGCAAGGTGGTCAAAGGCGGAAAATAGGCAGAGTAGGCCACAGTACACCTTTAATTATAATAAATCACAACTATGTGTTTACTTAAACCATCAGACTTTTCTGTGAAATACAGCTTTTGACTTTTTTATATTATTGTTGTTACAGAACAGTTCTCACAGAAAGATGGGATGACAAGACATATTAAGTCAATATTTGAATAATAACATTCAACTGAATATTCATATTCAATTGAATTGTTAATAATATTAAAAATAATATTTCAACAAAAGTATTGTACACTACAATTGGCATGAAGTGTCATAAATAATATTTTGATATGGTCCACTTATAAACCAGTGGGGTGGGTTTTTTTAGTATTACATTTTAGCAATAGCAAGGCAAGATGAATGAAGGTAATTTCTACACGGCTAGTAATCAGTCATGTGTCTCCTGAAACAATCAATTAATAAGATAAATATATCCTTGTAAGTATAAAATTTCAAGTAATCATGTAAAATACCCAGAACATGCAATAATTTTTTTATTTTCATGCTAAGTACAAATCACAATGCCTCTGCAAATCACTTGACTATTGATCTTCATTCACCCAAACTAGTCATTAAACTGAAGCTTACAGTCAAGTAGGGCACAGCTTCCTAAAAAGGAAAAAGCATCCAATTAAATACAATCTTAACATTTTTTACTTGAAAGGATGCTCCAGTTCTATGATAAGATAAGCAAAGAAGCTGATCAAGTTCAAACATCATATTGCTGCCTGATTTTCTTTCTCCTAAGTATAAAACCCACTTCATTTGGGTACTCAGAATTTTATATAAGTTTAATATGCATCAACAAGCTTTACTGTTTTATTTTTAGTAACGGGTAACAGCTCACCTCTAATATGTAAGTTAGTCTTCAAAGACCACAGGAACATCTCGGTCAGGCAGAAAGACATCTGGTAGCAGATGGAGCCTTAGCACTATCAAAAGAAGGAAAGAAACTGCATGAGCAAATTAATTACCCTCTATCACCAGTGAAACTGCAAGGATTTTGGAAACCAAGTGCCAGAAGAATGTAGCACCAATGACATTTTGTTATATGTAAGTTGTAGTTTTCAGCTGCGATAAAATGAATGATGCATGAGAAAGAATAGGATAAGAAATGGATATATGCCTATATATCCATCATATACAGAGACAAATCAACATTTATTTAAATTTACAGCTGCTCTCACCAAAGTGAATAACGTTGTGCTTGTTGCTTCTCATATACACATTATAATCTATTTTTACTGTATGGTTATTACTTTGACACATGCAGAAGTGAAGCCACTACTTAAAGATCTGGCTTAGGAGAATTTGACTTTCAGGCCAAATTTTTAAACATTGTACATTGGGAAGTGTCAGTATAACCAAGAATAAGTTTTGAACACATGATATTTGCAGACATTAGCTACAGTGCTAAATACAAAAAATTATGTCATTCTACATAAAACAGAGCACTTAAAGCAATTAAAACTGACAAAACAACAGATGTGAAGCATATGAAAAACATGAGTTGAAATACTATGTACATTGACTACAGTTATAAAATGTTTACCGTGTTTTTTTGAACAATGTATGAACAGGAGATGTGTTGTGTTTCGAAGGAGCATTGGGAATCTTCTGAGGCGCAGCAACCAACAGACTTCCCTGAGTAATTTCCTGCAGTGCTGTAGCTATAAGTGGGCCATCAGACCAATTACTTTCATTTCTTTTGCTACACCCAAGAATCCACTGAAAGCTGGACTCTGAAGGGGAGTTTACACAAACACAGCACACTTAAGAACCACTGCTGGTATAGTACTGTACTTGAACTTTTTTTCTTTTTTGAAGTGGACTCTTCATTTCCTTTCCATTAGTGCCATCTAGATAATGAACCAATTACAAGATGATTGCAGAATTCCTATCACATAGAGTATCAGACGTTTACGTCAAGAGTGCTATGATGAAAAATATGTGCAAGAATCTCAGGTAGCATGAAGGAAGCTATCAGTCCCAGCAGAGCCATGAGACCTTGAGGTATTATCACTCAAACTAATATGTGTGTTTTGATGCACTGCCTAATCCACTGAAATAGCACCAAGTGGAAATAGCATTTTCTTTGCACTGATCCCCAAATGTACAAAAAGTCTTGCTGACTTACTAAATCGCATAGTTCTATCAAGAAAAAAAAAAAAAAGCAAAAAATAAAAGCTCACAACACATATCTAGTAAATGGAATATACTTTCATCTTGGGCGAGAATGAGTTTTGGAAAAAAATGCAAGGAGATTAGCAGCACGGTGGTCTGTTGAACATGGGAACCATTTTTGGTATAAATATGGATGAGGGCAGCCCCTCATTTTCCATGTGGACTACAGTAAAAGGAGATTGTACATTATAATTTTCTTATTTGTTTTCTCTTTTTTTCCTTTCTTACTTTAGCAAGTGAAACAAAACTTGCATTCCCCAAGGCCCATAGATCCTAGATTAGAATCTCTCACTAATAGGAACTCATTGAATTGAGTGAACTTCTACAAATCCTATCATGGGTTGACTGGGAAAAAAAAAATAAAGCCTTTGATTGGCAGATGATCTGTTCAGCTGGAGAGAAGTCATATCTGCCCAGAAGACAAGGAGAGACTAGGAGACTTTGGCACAACAAATAATCTAACATAAATTCCCCAAATTACTCCAAAGCTTTTGTATGTAAGTTCCACAGGTCCTTTTAGTTGTGTCCTCCTACTGAATATAAAGCTATCCCATAACATTTTAATGCTGCTGTGTGCCTTCCAAACTGACAGAGAAGACTTTCAAGTCCTTATTTTTTCACTGAGTGTCAGAGACACAGAGGGAACTCTCCAAAAAACAGAAGGAAGCTTTCAAATAAGCACTAAATACTCAGTCTCCAAGACACGTACTTTTAAAAAATTTGCCCTCAAAAATGAGAAAAAAAGAAAGTTTGTAAGAAAATGTTAAAACCCCAAAGATTTCTAAAGAACTGCATTTCACTTCTGCACTGAATAACCTAGATGAAACAAAATTCTCCATGTACCTAAAAAGGTAAAAGACATTTTGTCAGTTATTCTAATCTTGAGTTTAGCTTTTCAATTCTCCCTTTCTTTGGACTCTGAGCTCTCACAAACCAGCTAATTATTCGAATGCTGGTTACTGTTGTGCCAGTGAGAATGGACATCTGCCCCAAAAATACTGGTCCAGTATTTTGTTCAGAGGAATTATTCTTTCTTGTTCCTTTTGAACGAATACATGCCAACTTTCAGAGTTATGCAACTACATCTCACCATTTACCACATCATTATATTTCAGCACAATGGGGATGAGGATGATGATGACAAAAGGATCTTTCTGTATTTGAAAAGTGCCTCTCAGAATTTACTATGTTTCTTTAACTACATGAGCTAGGCTGTGCTATTGCAAAGAGGTAAGTATGAAAAAATATTAAAAATTCCTCATGTTGAGCTTTAAGGACTCCATCCTCCCTCTTTAAAATTGAGTCGAATTTGGGAAAAATGGGATAAAATAACTCTATTGTTAAGGTAAAACCGGAATTCAATTTAATAGCTGGTTCTTTTTTCTGGCTCACACAACACTGACTATCTGCTTTCACAATATCTCCACAAACAATATGCAGGGATATTTTGATGGTTGCAGAAGCTTACTGAGAAATGGAGATGTTCTGCAATGGTTAGCTTGCTCCAGTATCTGTGGTAGGAGTGCTTTGTTTAAAAAAAAATCCTCAGTTTAGTAAATCTTTGTTTAACCACTGATACAGAAAATAACCATCTGGACACTTCATAACATCAACAAATGCTGAAACTGATATCTAGGGTCCACTCCAACACCTTCAATTTAGCTGCTGTCATGCCAAATAATTAGGAACTATGCACTGCATGAGTGATCCAGGGCACCGATATTGTACTTCTCGTCTTCCCATACGGTTACCTGTGAGAGTGCGGTGCTTGTGAAAGGCAATGCACAGCTCCTGAGGTGAGTGCCTCCTGGGAACATGGACCTCTGAAAATGTGTTACGAGTGACTAGATAATAGGAAATGCTGACTACAACAGACTATCTGAACTTTGTAGTTTACATGCCAGAGGCATGGCTCGGTATCACACCACTATCCCAAGTTCCTCTCTAAGAGTAAATCCTGTAACTGCCAGGCTACAGGACAGCATTTGATGACCATCTGCCTATTCCACCGAAGGTGGGCCAACATGCTCCCAGAAATCCAGTGTTCCTAGTGAAAGAGCGATAAACAAGGGGAATCCCCTCCAAAGTATCTCTATAGTTTGGGACACACTCCTAGGAGCAGAAACAAGGTAAATTACAAAGCTAGTCAGAAAGCAGATACCTCTATGCCACAGCATAGTTACAAAGCTAGTGCAGTAATATGTGTACACGTACTAGACGAGGTGCTTCAGACATGGGTTTGGGCAGATGCTATAGGACAAAATGCCCAAATAAAAGAAAATGCTGCAGAATCCATTTTCACTACTCACATGGTATCAGACTTTCTTGGCAAAAAAAATATATATACCAGGAATTATTTTATAAGAACCAGCACAGGCCATCCTTTTGTTTTCTCCTATTCCAGATTGCTTTCATGTTCTACAGGTGTAATTTTTTTCAGAAAAACTGAAAATGTAACAGCCACAATGGACTCTAACTCAGAAAAATATGTATTTTTTCATTTGATTTCAGATTAATTACATAATAGCTCTACCAGCTACAGATTCCAGAACAGACTACCCTTGATCTTAGTTCTGCCTCCCTTCCTCCACCCCTCGAATGTTAACATCCCATTTCTGGCATCACTACAGCTCATTCCCAATGTCTGATTTGTAACTCAGACACCAAACGTTCAACAAACAACGTAAGTCATCAAGTCATCCTACAACTTATTCTATGTTTCCGTGATATAATATTTGGAGCAGAAATCATTGCTGTTTTCCTCTTCATGACCAATTTCTCCTTCACCAAGGAGAGAAACTCCCTGCAGCACAGATATGATTCACAAACATAGTATTTGACTCTGTAAGGTAAAGTTTAGATTGAACTATGTGCATTAGATCAGTAGCTACTTGCTGTATGCTTTAAGTTGATACAACAACTTCTTTGTGTAAAGCATGTGAAATAAAATTTTGAACATACTCTCTTTTAATTTTTAGTTTCCTCAACTTAAAATTTACTGTAGTTACTCATTTAAAAACAGACCAGTAAAAATTTCTCTCAGTCATGTTCCCATAGATAATTGCAAAATATTCTCCCAATCTTACAAGATAGGCTTCCACTTTTTACAGTTGTATGAAGCCATAACCTGTTTGATATATAATAAACACATACAGAAATAAAGTCAGAAAAATCATGAGAATTTGTAAAACTTCATTTTGTATTCTGGCATTAAGCAGCAACAATCCAGATTCCTTCACATCTACAATTTATTCCACCAAAAGTCAGCAGCACAGCAATTAAAGGAAACTGCTAAACTTATATATGTATATTGTAGGATTGTCTTAGTACCAGAACTGAGGGACACGTAGAGATAGCTCAGGCCCTAATCACTTTTCTTGGCGAAACCTGTAGATCTAGCCCCGTTGGAGCACATTGTTTCTTGCTAAGCTAGAAGATCTAGCAAACGGGGTATAGCTATGGAAGACAGTGGTGGCATGGTGGCCATGAGTGCTGCAAAA